AGCTAGCAATCATGGCACCTGAAGCGGCGGGACTCTACTCGACATGACGTGACAAGCGAAATATGACATGATGAACATGACAGACAACACGGATGACGAGGGAGGGAGTTTGTGGGATGGAATGGCAATCACCACGGTAAAAGCAGTCACCAGTAGTCATTTCCCTACGAGATACGTCAGGGATGTCTAAGGGGACCAGCCCTGCTGCGGTGACTACAGACGGAGGGGATCGGCCCCCGCGGATGTAAAATACCGGTTCTTCTCTGGCATGTGGCTAAGGGGAATCCCCGGCCACCGGTCACAAAAGTCACCGGTCACGTCCGATCAACCAGTTAGTCTTGGAACATCTGAGCCGAGAGGTAAAGCACGGACCGGACCACCGAGCCAGGCTTCGGGCCTGGATCCGCCCCGCATCCAGTGCACTACAGCCTCGCTTAGAAGGCCGAACTTCAGCAAGATAGAGAGGATAATAGCACAACAGCGTGCGGGCGATACTGAGACGGTATCTCGTCCCAGTACAGAAAAGGGCCACGGTTGAGCAACCAATTCCTGTTTGACCAGTGGCTGGAATAACCAAAATCAGTCGAGATGGGCGCTGCACACGGCGGCAGTTTAAATTGTAAATCGCGTGGGAATCTGCACGGCTGCGGTCGCGTGAGAAGAGTAGGGCTACCGGAATGCACTGCTGGGATGTAGGTACGGCCGCTGGTGGACCGTTGAGAAGATAAATAAGCGGACGGCAGTCTGAATTCATATCAAGGGGACAGAGATGGAGAATGGAGTGAAGGAGGAAGGGTGAGGGGAGAAGGGGGAGAAAGCAAGAGAGGGTGACAGATCAGCGACGTAGCGACCACAAACAGCATCCCAAAGTATACGTCTAATTTTGTCATTATTGGATGCTACATCACGAATTAATTCATCTTTCATTTAACCAGCCGTCTTCCCGACGAAGTTGCTAACGACGGATCACATTTCAATCAAAACGCCATCTACCTCCACCACAACATGGTCCGCAGACGACCCGTATCACCCAGTGAACTTCTAACCGCCGCAGGCGGCCCAAGTTGACCGCAAAATACATAAATAGAACAGAATACGTCCTATGGCGGGGCGGGGTCGTCTCTCGGCCGACCGTCTCCTACCGTTCACCGGGTCAGATTATGCAGCGACAGGCTGCAGCCGGCGCCATGCAGCCCACACAGCTGCACCAGCAGAGCTACAGATTGCAGAAGCTGCAGCAGTCCGGCAGCCACACCTATGGTATGACATCAGCGGCGACCGGCCTGCCCACCGGAGACACGGAGGGGAGGCGGACATGGCGCAGGCGGCACGTGCGGACATAACACAGAGGACACAGCACGTGCGCGTTAGTTAGAGCAGACGCGACTGTAGCACAGTACGGTGGGGGTGCACTCCTGGGGAGCGTTAAACGCTGCCAGGTCACGGTCACATCAGGAGGACAAATTCATCGGCGTGAGAGCGAGCTTGCCAGATCTCCAGAACGTGGAATGGCGAACACTCGCAGCATCACGAACCCATCACCGGTGCAGGGAGGGAGATGACGACTGGCAAGGCCCTAACTACAACGACTGGCATCTCAAGCGTGGGACAGGACAATATGAAGAGTCTGAGTGTGGGACAGGATAACAGAACAAGGTGACCGAGCATGGCAAAGAGTAATGTAAGAGGTCGGGGACATAGCACGATGGATGGATTGGATCTGCAACATTGATCTCCGCGGGATCAAACTGCTCCTTCACAGTGCTATCCTCCCAACTCGGATACAGTCACACAGCTGAGGATTTCTAGGTATTTAGGTATCAGATCGAAAAGATACAAATTTTACCACGCTTTGAGTAGAACAGCAGTCAGCACGATCATCATTGCAAAAAAAATCAGTCTCGAAAAAACGAAATCCACAAGTAGGTATGGTTTGATGAGCCCCCACCCACAACAGTCAACAACCACCACAAATCGCATTATTCATCTCCCCTCCACAGCTAACAGATCCTCTCTGAGAGAGTGGACCGCGGTACAGTCTGACACCACAAGCCCCACTGACAGAGCTGCCAGGGACCGCCCGTCAAATACGATCGTGCCGGAGGGCCCCCTCGGGAGATGAGAGACGCATTCCAGTCATTCCTCGCGACTCGCCATGGCCGAGTCTGCGCCGGCGCGTCACGAGTGTGCGGTCTGAGGAGTGGAGGAGATGGGAGAGAGAGGAGAAAAGGAGGGGGGAAGAGGGGGCATAGAGGAAAGTGGAAACTAGCCCCAGACGATAGAAGAGAGTACTGATAGAAGAACTGTGAGAGAATACCTAATGATCTGCCGGTCAGCACAGTTCAAGAATCATTATTGAGATAAAGAGATTGTCTCTTTCATCAATGACATTGCAATGTGCCCCCGTCAACCAACCATTCCCCAATCCATCCTCAACACAGCACGGCTACATCCAATGATCACCACGGATCAGCGGATCACCGATGGGCTGTGATTCTCGGACGCGTAGGGATCACTCGAGACGGCGAGTAGCGAGAATCAGCACGTATCATCGCAGTTATCGATGATCAAGAACCATTGCATCGATCGCGAATACGCAGAGAACGCAGCAGTCTACAGCGATTAGTGGAAAGTCCCGCAATTAGCGAGGATCAGCAGAAACCACTACAACCCACGGGTTCGGCAGGGATCATGGCTGTCATCAGCGATCATCCAGCTTTGCCTACCAATCATCGGGAATCGGCACGAATCACAACTGAACGTCGATAATCGGCAAAGTCACCAATTTCGAGCGAATCAGCACGATCATCTTGATCATCCGCACCATCTCGATAACGGCAAATCATCCTCACAAGTTTGCATGTTTGTTGGGGTATAAGGGCGGGTAGACATCAACGATCCTCTCCCGTTGCAGCGGTGACCGACACTGACCTTGGCGTAGCGGAAGAGCTCCTTTTGGTGACGTAGTCTCTCGGCCGGCACCGGGTGCTTTTTATGCATGAACTTGAACATGGCTGCACCTGAAATGGGGGCAAGAACGAGAATCAGTTAGTGGGTGAGTGAGGGTCTAGGTGGTGCATGGTTGTTTGAGAGTGAGACTGATGGGGATCAATGAGGATGGTGAAGATAAAATTGCAGGACATTCACCCTGCATTCATTTATTGACCTGAAAGATTACAGTGGGCGAGAGATGGATGCTCCAAAGGCAACCAATCAAACAATTTACGAAATGTTTAACAAATTCCTTGTAGTTTTTCAGGATGTTTCATGTTGCAGCATAGAAATACATATCAACACATAGTTGCAAAAAATTATCTTCCCTGTAAGCAACTGCAGCATGAACTCAAGATAAATCAGTTTAGAACCTGTTTTATGACAGTTGATGCTGATAAAAGGTTATTCACAGCAGTCAGCCCTAGAATTCAAAATTGCATCAGAATTTAAAAAATATCATAAAACTTTGCAGAATTCATAAACTTACACTAGCATTGGATCAAAATGCTCACCACAGAAAAAGTACCTACTAGTGGCTTGGCATATTGAGAAATACTTTGCTCATTGTCATCTCCAGAGAGTAACGAACAGAGGAGGCTGGGTTCCAAAAGGAGGCAGATGCTGGGTGATAAATTAGGCAAAAATTAGCTCAACTGATCTGCAGCTGAAGGGAACATGATGATGACATCATTGCAGTGGGTTAACTCCATAAAAATTGGCTTATCATTCCTCAATTCTCATAAGCCTCATACTGATTCACTGACATCTTCCCATTGCATTTGAGGCGGCATGTCAACATAAGCGTCAGGCAGGCATTTAAAGAAAGCATTCAAAATAAAATGAGACTGCAACGAAATCAGACAAACACTTGCAACGAGTAGGCACAACACCTCAACTCACCGCTTTTGCTCTAGATGATTGCAATCTGCAGATTTTAGGTACCAGAATCGTCTGATTCAACACACTGGTATTATAGGTATTTCTCTACCTAAAAACACACTATTTACACACACCACGGATATTATCTAATTCTCTCCACTATGAACACCACACAAACGCGCACTTGGTATTCGCAAACCGGGGCTTCAGTAAAAACTGGATTGCGTCAGCTGGCTGGCCAGCTGACGACGTACGATAGGTATTTTAATATAGATATAAGCGAGGCAGTAATATGGACATAAATATTTTAAATGGCATTAAATGAAAAATTGATAAGTAAATATTTATTCTTTTATATCTAGCATTGATATGTAATAATCTCTGCTAGCGCCACCATACGGCGCCAGCTGGCAAATAATCCAGTTAATACCAGAGCCCGCAAACCGCTATTTTGCCGGCACGACACCGGTCTCCGCACGACACCGACGCGCGCAGCAGAATCGCGTGCAACGCTCCGCGAGCCGCCACCGACGCAACAACGCCACGAAGCGGTGTCAAGGTAACGCCCAGGAACGGGTTAGGTGGGGCCGGGCCGACAACTGTTGCTTAGTGGATCCGGCACACAAATATTTCAATATAACTTATTTTTTGTCCCGTACCGGCTATGCATTTACAGTTACCGACTAATTCTGTCGTAATTATCATGGCATAGAATGAGCATCCACCTATAGGTGTCGCCACACGCAGGGGCTCCTGGCCACCTAGCGTCACTTCCGTAAGTTACAGTTCTAATCTATCCACGAGATGTCCATACCAGCCTCTCAATGGGCTTTGTGCGTTGCTGCATGATGACCACCGACGGGCGACGACGGCACAAACTATTGCACTGAAATAGTGCAGCCCATTGAAATATATGCCTTTCATCCAGCTTTACCTATGGACCAAACTGTGTTACCTTATCATCCACCCCATGACCCGGGTTGACGGTCGACAGTCGACACTCGGCAAACTGCAAAGCCAACAGAACCACCCCTTGTGTAGCAACACCTATTGGTCACCAAATCGGAAATATCAAGACATAGCCCTCTATATTTCAGCGGTCTAGAGCCACCCTAATGGACCTCATACATGTGACATGACACATTTATTGAAACACCGACGCACAAAGCTATCACATGTCACCAAAATCCAGCAGCGAGCCATCACGCGTTAAAGAATAACAAACGAGACAAGGTAATGCCGTCATAAGCTTACTCTGCCACCCTGTGCACGTTGTCCATTACACCCTCTTCCCTCGACACTGACAGTGACATGACGGGGTCATCTGGTCAACTTTCCACCGAGCCGTTGGTCACATATTCCTCAACGGATTTCGCACCGTCCCCTGCACCGGTCGAAGCATCCGATTTCCCACCGCACACACTTATGTCACTGCTAGACACCGGTTCAGGGTTCACCGATTCAGGGTTCACCGCTTGAGGAGTTCCCGTAGCAGACGGCTCTGCTCCCGGCGCATCAACCTTCTTCTGTGACTCAGCAACAAGCCCTGACGTGACTCCCGTCCCTGCGTCCTCTTCTGCCTTCCCGGTGCCATCATGTGCCGTCGCAGCCGCTTCTGAATCCCCTCTGCTAGCGTGCGCCGGTCCACCGTCTCCCACCGACTCAGTCGTCTCCGTGGAACAGTCTCCATCAGAAGTCTCTCCCTTAATGATGGCTCCTTTCCTGGCAGGCAGAACCTGCTGAAGAGCCTGCCTCCAGCCGCTGCCACCAGCCACCAGTAGCAGGATGCTGAACACGTGGTCAATCGTTAGCACCTTCCTCGTCTTCATCTCCACAAAGTCGTCAATTGGTAATCGCGCGTGCGCGATCCCCGCCTCTCGCGCACGCCGCAGGCACTCGCCCTTGTGGTGGTTGTGATCCACCAGCCCACCGATCACATACGCCCTGCCCGGCTCCAGCTTGTCCAGCTGATGTTCCGAGTCGCTGGTGAGATAGGTAACCTTCTCATGAGGAAGCACATCCAGAAGGTGGTCACGTTCTATGCGTACATCCCAATTCTGCCAGCCATCGTTGGCATCCATGAGTCTCCGACTCTCTCCATCCATGCTAGTGAGGAGAAATTGAACGGGTCGCGCAGCGCGACGGTTAGCCGCGTAACATCGTTGTACCTGCTTCAGACACTTCCCCAGGTCTCGTTCGGTCATGAGATCGTCAAAAGACAGGTCAATCACCACCTGTACGCCACTGCCGGAAGCCATTGGCGCCAGGCGCGGGCGTTTGGGAGGCGCATCGCCGGCAGCTATTGCGGCAGCTACCGCGGCCGCGCGTTTTTCCTTCCGTCGCTGCCGCTCGGCACGTCGTAGGGCAGGTCGTTGCGCTAAAAATGCCTCACGCTTGGCCAGCCGCTTGCGCTGACGTTTGGAGAGAGTTGCCTCACCCTCGCTGGGTGTATGCGTGGCATCTGATGGCTCGGACTGGCTATCTGCAGTGGCAATGTTGATAGCGTCTGAAGTTTTTGACTGCCCGTTTGTGGAAGAATCTGTGGCATTATCTGACTTCTCAGTCTTTCTATCTGTGGAGGTCATGTGTGTCTTGGAAGAAGACACATTTACTTCAGATGTGTCAGATGTGACCGACTCTGGCTGGCCAGCAGCGGCAGCTGGAGACATGTCCGCATCACCAGAGGTAAGTAGGGAAGTGGCTGATGTTTCCGCCATCATAAGGGCAACAGGTGCAGGTTTCAGCAAACCTTTCACAGCTCTGCAAAAGAAAATAATAATTAATTACAACAAGCTGAACAACCAGAACATACATGATTAAAGTCACAGTATCCAACAGGATGAAAAAATGAAGATAGTTTTCATTGGCTGACAACACAAAAATGAAACCAGCTATTGCGAACCTGCCAACTGGCAACTCACCACCTACAATTGAAATCTGAATTCACAAAGAGCTAACGTCAAGTCAATTTAGGTACATTCATGTTGAATATTTTGACAGCCTATGCATTTAATACAGGAAAATATATCAAATCCAGTAGACGCCTGAAAATGTTAAGATATAAAAAATAGTTTAATTGTAATTACACCAAAATTGGTAATAATAAATACCATTTCAATTTTCAACATTTATAAGTGGGCTCAACATTTCAGTTCACCCAAGGAACCATGGTCAAGGAACAGCTGTGAAAAGCCGCCTAGAAAAGTGTCTCAAAAATCATTAGAACTGTCAACTGGTAGGTAACTAATCGTCCAAATCAAAGCCCGAAATAATTTTAAAGATTTAAATGCACCTCACCGTAATAACGTCCACAAACAAAACTGTGTTTTACATGCCTAAGCCAGAAGCTTGGCAGCCTTCTTTACACTGTTCTTTTCTTGCATGATGTGCGGTTAGCGACTTCGACATGCTAATCAATTACCAGCATTGCTGTTCACTAGCCTGCGCGAGTCACTCTTCACAAAAAAATGAACATAATTGTCAGTAACTGGCATGCCTCTTATTTGTCACATGTGCGCGGTATACGCATGACGCAACTGCAGCCAGACACAAAGGGAATCTCGTAACATTCGGTAATAAATTCCTTTATATCGGGCTCTGGATGGTCTCGCCAGACCGAACGAGTCAAACCCAACAAAACAAAGCAAAACAAAACTAAACAAACATTTCGTAGACAGACATTCGGCGAATCCGCTGCCAGCGGACAGCATACTGAGCCGTCTTTTTAGGATTTGAGCCTTTCGTCTCCGACTGAGTCAGTTGTTGATCGGCGGAACCGAAGCACCAGATCAGCTCTCCATACCGCCCCCGCGGCCGTTCGGTGTCTGAGGGATCCGATTACCGGACGGTCTGCCTTATGCCGCTTTCCCCCTGAAGGGCTAGCCATTGTCGTGCATCTGGCGGTAACGAGCAGGGAGGTCGATTCGACCCCTTGCACAGCGCCAACGCTTCGCCAGATCACCGTGGGCCCTCTCGCCGCACACCCGCAGCACTTCTCCCTAACCAAGAAATTACGGATTCGATAAACGTATGCATGTATTTCAGAGTACAATGTAGTATCATTTCATGCAGAGTACAGGAATGACGTACTGGCCTTTCCCTAACATCACATTATCACATCGATAATGTACAAAGCTAACCCTGAGATGTACACCCAAACTTCACGATTATAAGCTATTCATGATTACAAAAAACACGCATACAAATAAACAAAAACGCCTTTGACTGATGCGTACCACGACAGTGCATCTAAACATCATGAAAGCAAGTATGAAAGAGCTTCTTGAAAGAGCGGTCGGGGACACCGATTTATAACGTCGTATCGGATGATTTCTTGTTTTCGTCGTATAGCATGGGCATGAGAGGTTACAAACATCGTCCACTGCCATGCCGCAATGCAAATCATCCCCTAGTACAGTCCACCAGAGGACAAAACTTGGTGACGATATATGGCATTATATCAAATATATTGACATTCGTCACATCATGACGAGGCCTACCAAACGTCCCTCCTCCAAGAAAGTGATGTCACCTTTAACCCCAACTCCAATGACGTCATTTTCCGCACCCGCTGACATCACATGCCGCCCGTTTTCCACACGGTATCCCGCAGCCAGCCGGCCTCAGCCGTGTCCAGCAGCGCTCCAATGACGTCACGCAGCTGCAGCTGACTGGCGGCTCGGTACTGCAGCTCCGGTCCGGCGGCGGCCAACGTCAGACGGCGCAGACGCGACGGGGAGAACTGTCGCGCCGAGCCGCGGATACTGATAACGCGGTCAGAAAACGGTTAGATTGTGGAGGAAGAACGGGCTCATGTGGAGTTAAAACAATGTCAGCTGTTGACCCAGTCAGTTTAATTTGTTCTAGAACAGATTCAAACAGACCGAGTCAAAACGAGGTCCGAAAGAAGTCACAACAGTGTAAAACAGGGTTGGAACGGTGTCAAAGTTGGGTCACAGTTCGGTCAAAACAGATTCAAAACGGGAAAAGACAAATGTGACGGTGCGGAGCCAGGTCAGACAGCACGCAAATGTGGAAAAAAATCACACAAAGTCATAACAAAGGGAAGTTGTAATAAAGCAAGAACTGTGTACAAATAGAGAGGTTAACAAGCAACGTCTCAACATACATCTAAAATAAATCGATGGCAGGCAAACACCAAATTCACCAGAAGATACAAGCAAGCTCCGGAAAAGGGGCATCTTGCAGGAAGTTTCGCTACCAAGCACGAAGTACAATTTCCATAAACACAAAGCGATATACGAGGTGTGGCTAAAAAGAAACCGGACTGCTCGTGCTGGCCATAAAGTAGGGGGCCTGAAAACTAGCGAGACACTTGACATTAATATTTATCATATTGTCGTGATGTGTGCCAAACGGCATCTCGATATCGCTATTATTCTCCTTTCCACAGCTCTTTGTTTTATTGATGACGCTGACGCCGGTCACTCTGGTCTGGGTGTCCTCGACCGATTCAAAATGGGTTTGCTTGACGACGTTTTTCATTTTAGGGAACAGCCAAAAGTCACAGGGAGGGAGGTCTGGCGAGTAAAGAGGGTGCTTGAGCACCGCGACCTGCTTTACGGCAAAGAACTGCTTGACGCTAATGGCAGAATGCGTGGGCGCGTTGTCGTGATGCAGCACCCAGTTCTTGGCTTCCCAGAAATTCCACTTGGTGCGTCCGTATCGTGAGATGAGGCGTCCCAGGTCTTCCTTGTAGAAGTGCTGGTCGACTGTGGTACACCTCCAGCACGAGCTGGCGGTGAACTAATCCCCTGTGATCGAAAAAGACGATCAATGTCGTCTCCACCCTCGACTTCGACATGCGCGCGGAAGTTGATGGGCCTCCAGACCTTGGGGTCATCACCGACATCCTCACGACCAGTGCTGAACCTCATAGGCCATTCAAACACTTGCATGTGACACATGACTTGCTTCCCATAAACAGCCTTGAACAGATTCAGCGTCTCTGTTGGACTTTTTCCAGTCTGGCAAGGAACGTGATGTTCCTTCTTTTTTCGACGCTCATTGTAGAAGCCTGGCGGTGACAAGGCCGTCAAACAAAGAGCTGTGGAAAGGAGAATAATAGCGATATCGAGATGCCGTTTGGCACACATCACGACAATATGATAAAGATTAATGTCAAGTGTCTCGCTAGTTTTCGGGCCCCCTACTTTATGGCCAGCACGAGCAGTCCGGTTTCTTTTTAGCCACACCTCGTACAGTAGTCCTAACCCCTAAGAGCATGATAACCGCCACCCGTCCCCCTCGTCGATATCCGTATCACTCGCCGTTCACTATCCCGTTCAGTACTCGGTTCCAGTATCCTCTCACCATCAAACCCTATCGCTCACCGTTTCAATATCCCAGCGATAACACTATGATCCAGGTGTCCCTCGGCCTGGAGGTACTCGGTCAGGTACTCATCCCGTCCCAGACACAGGTACTGGCGGTACAGCAGCTGCGACCAGTCGGCAGGACGGTCCGGGTACGCGCGCAGTACCAGACGAGCCGCCCGGTACCTAAGGCAAAGCCGGGCGAGGGTTAATGGGGCCAGGGCCGGGTACAGCTGCTGATAAGGGGGAGGCGGGGCGAGATCGGGTCTGGCTTGCCTGAATGTAGGCCGTAGGGGCACAGCACGAGTGGAGTCAGATTAGTAGCAAATGTGGAAGCCGGAAGGAAGGTTCCGACGGCCAGATAGTAAACGGCAGATAGTAAAGTTCCGCGCAGTTAAGTGATCGTATAATACAGTGTGAACTGTGAAGAGATACAGTGCCGGACAACATAGAGTGAAAGTCAGCCATATTCAGTCAATGACAAAATCTTAGAAGATAAAAAGATTGGGATTCGAGTTCGACATCTAACAATCTCAGCCTCGGCTTTCGACATCTCTCATTCTTTCTCCCCGGCGGCGTCACTCACGGCAGCGTCTCAGTCAGCAGCGTGTGTAGCTGCTGGTGACTCCTCCTCAGCAGCAGGGGCCGCACTCCCTCCGGTAGAGGCAGGGCGCCGGAACTGATACTGATCTGCAGGGCCACCAGCTGCGCCTGACACAGGCTGGCGTCGGCGGACGACAGGCGCTCAGCCTGACGAAACAGGACATGAGAAGGTACTGTCAGTTGCATCTCACGACAACTACATACAGTTTTGAACCGCTGCTAACTGAGGTGCCAGTAAAAGATGGCAGGGTACAGCGTTGAACTTCTACCACGTGACGTGCCTGCACAGGCCGGTGATGGTGGCAAACATCTTCTAGAACGGAGGCATTGTCTCCAACAGACGGACAAGTCACAGGTAGCTGGGATATTACATCTAGAACGGTATACATTCTTGGACGATACCGCGAAAACGAAATATTTCTATCGAGAGTTTTCAAAGGATTTCATGCACGAGGCCTTGGCCGAGTGCATGAAATTGTTTGAAAACTCGAGATAGAAATATTTCGTCGCGGTAGAGTCCTAGATATTATTTCCTGTATGTTTCTTAATATCGTTCGTTATTTGCTTAAAAAAGGCTGAAATATGCATAAATAAAATACAGTAACATTAACTACACGTTAAATACTGAAATACTGGCAGTTCTAATTACTTAACAGACCAGTTCAGCAAAGCTTACAAATTTTCTTTAAAACAGAAGCCCTCGGTGAAATCAAGCTATCCAAGAAAACCAAGAAAACCATCCAAGAAAACGTCTCGCGCAAAGTTTCTTGGATGGCTGGATTGCATTGCAAGACTGCATCAAACATACAGGAAAAGAACTTCTTGCAACAAACGTGTCGGACGTCGGTAGAATGTTTCGGGATGGTGATCCTAGCATGTGGTTACTTCAAATGTATCTAACACAGCAGCGTCTACCAACTCACATGTCGGTAGAAGGTGGCTGCGTGTCGGTAGCAGTCCATGGCCTCTCTGAGCCGCTGCTGACCGGTCTCGGTGCAGTGTTCGTCCGGACCGGACTGCAGGACGGAGGTGATCAGCTGCTCGGCGCGGGACTGCCAGTCGGCGGCCGCCTCGGCGTGGTGGCCGAACCTGGTGGGACAAACGAGCAAAGACATACTGTCAGGTCAACGGGGACAAACATGGTGGGACAAAACCGACAGGGGCACGATGTCACGAGGAGGCAAACTTTATAAAACAAAACTAAAAAAACAAGCGCGTTTAGAGATAGGCGAGCTAAAAGAGCCCATAAAACACAAGGTAAGTGTACGATAGAACATGATTGCACAAACACACAAACAGGTTGGCGCCTATAAATCTGATAAGACCCAATGTGACCCGGCATGACTTGTGTCCCCTTATCTGTCCCTTGGTGACTCGTGGTGACCTCTGTCCCCTTCTCACCGTCCGGTGACCAATCTGAGCCGCGCAGTATCCTCAGGATGGTGTCTGATCAGGTGCCGTCTCAGCGCGGCTCCCAGCCTCCCGTCACTGACGCCAGCCGTCAGCAGTCGCTCCAGACGGTCCTCTCGCAGTAGCAGCTCGAACACGTAGGCCATCTCCTCGTACCGGCCCAGACCGAGCAGCAGGCTCACCTGGGGAGATAGGAAAAGTTAGAGGTTAGATGTTTCGGGTCAGGTCAGGGTGGTCAGATGTTATAACTTACATTTGATGTCAGAGAAGTTGTATTAGATGCTAGAAGTTGGATAAGACACATGGTAGTAAAGACTGAAGGTCAGAGGAAAGAGGTCATAGAAAAGAAAACTGTCGGAAGGTACACAAACCAGATCGTCGACAAGGAAGGACGTCTAACGGTCAGAAAATCCACAATTTAGAGGGTTCACACAGCTCCACGTCAGAAGGCCCAGAGGTCAAAGCGCACACAATCCGTCGGGCCATGTCAGGTTACATGGCATTTCACAAATCAGTACAAATCAGTACATTTCACAAAATTCAGAACGTGTAACATGTTACACGTTCCGCGACATCACTCCGTGCCCTCACCATGAGTCTGAAGTCCTCTTTGACGAGGAGTCGCCGCACCAGCTGCCGGGCTCTACCCATGACGTCACCGATACCTTGGAGGTTCAGCCGGGCCGTGTGGGCCGAGTGGGCGGCGACCAGGAGACCGACCTGGCAGTCGTCACCTGGGGGACATGACAGGGTACTGTCAGACGTCGGCAGACCGACCTGGTCGGTCTGCCGACCTGGTCGTCACCTGGGGGATATATGACAGATAACCGTCAGACAACCGACAGCCAAAGCCTGGCCGATTGGGCGGCGACGAGTAGACCAACCTGCCAGACAAGCCAGAAATAGGACGGCCAAGATCTGAGGTGACGGTTGTTTCTAGCAAAATAGTACAGACTCTGTTAGCCAACGAAACTCGTTTAAGAAGTGAGAGCTCAGATGGATTCAAAGTCCGTGAGATTGAAACTTCGAGCGCCCGACGAGAGACTCGAAGAGAGACTGGAAGCCGACGGGTGAACTGACCATATCCATCGGCCTCGGGGAAGGAGGCCAGGTCCTCTGCGGTATCCAGCAGTCGGTTTCCGAGCAGCACGGGGTCCGGACACAGAGCCAGCAATGGATCCAGCTCAGAGACGCCTGTAAAATTTTGGAGTTATCAGAAAACGCTTCAGGCTGTGAGCAACTTAACGAAAGCAAAATCGTCATGATTTACGTAGCATACCGCAATGAATGTCCGCCTTTTCAATTCTACTGAGTACTGACTCGCTAAGCAACATTTATTCCATGATTCTCTCGTTTCCATCTGGCGTGAAATGACATGCCTTAACCAGAACCATGACCATCAGTCTGTCTTTTCCCATCTACTGACCTGCCTTGACCTGCGCAATGACCTGCGCCAGTATGACCTCAGTGACCTGGCTGTCGGGCAGTTGGAGGCCGTGTATCAGATCAGCGGCCAGTCGGTAGCGGTCCACACCCGCGGGATCGCCCGTCAGAACCGAACTGAGCAGCAGTAGCGGCTCGCGAGTGAGCACCACCTCCTGGGTAGGAGAGGGAAAGAGGTCAAGTATGGTCGGAAATGCGCATCTTCTATCCTATCATAAAACCAGTAAAACGCCTTTTGGGCGACCAACGGAGCGAGCGAGAGGATGGGCCTTGCACGTGCGAAATTGCGAGGGGGTACCTCCAACTAACTTGTGCACTGCACCCTACTAACCGGTCTTTAGCGATGTGCCAAATTTCAGCGCAATCGGCCTAGCCGTTCTCGAGATCTGGAAGCGGCACACTGCACGTGCGCACGTGCAAGCGGGGTCCAAACTGACTTTTGCACGGCACCCTACTAACTGGTCCCCAACCGTGTACCAAATTTGAGCGCAATCGGCCCAGCCGTTCTCGAGATCTGGGAGCGCCCCCTGCACGTGCGCACGTGCTGTAGCACCCCAACCTTAACACATGCAGTTGAATTATCTGATGGAGACCTAACTGTGTACCGAGTTTCAATTCAATCGGCCCAACCGTTGTGCCGTTATTGAGGTTGCAATTTTGGGAGTTCTTAAAAAATGTCCAACTTTACCACGCGCCACGTGCGGTGGTTGGCAAGAACGCATGGTGGCCATCACACCGCAGAACTTTTACGTCCAAGTGACATTCAGTAAAGAAGACCGCTTGTCAATCGGATGTCCCGTTCCTAAGATATTAGCTTTTGAAGAGCGTCCCCACGGCCGGCCGGCCGGCCGGCCGGCCGCTCATACTCAGGATTTTCCCTTAATTCAGTATGAGACTCCGCTCGCTTCGCTCGCTCCGTAATAAACATTAAACTGTCACGACCAATTATACATTTAGAGGCCGAAGCTCGTGCCGAATTAACATTTTACTTAGCAAACTTGAATGTTACCCACGACACGAGGGAAAAATAACTAACTAATCGATTTAGATCAATATCCTGTCAGACACCAAGAAGCGATACGCCACCCCTCATCCATGCCTGGTAAGTGGTCTGCAGGTCGGTGGCAGCCCTCGCGCAGGACAGCACCCTCTGCCCGATCTCTGAGTAACCTACAGATACCCCTCCCCCCGGCCTGACGTACCTGATACGTAGACTGGAGGTCGGTGGCGGCGCGCGCACAGGACAGCACCCTCTGCCCGATCTCTGAGTAACCTACAGATACCCCTCCCCCGGCCTGACGTACCTGGTATGTGGTCTGGAGGTCGGTGGCGGCGCGCGCACAGGACAGCACCCGCTGTCCGATTTCTGAGCCGTGTCTCAGGGCGGCCACCAGCTCCGTCAGCTGCGAGAGCTCCGACGGAGACTGGGGCTGGCGCGCGTCGGGGGTCGAACAGACTGGAAGGGACGATATGGGTTAGACTGTTACACACTCAGAGACAGGCCGGACACGATACTTAAAATAAGGGGTAATGTTTTATCATAGAACTCTGTACACAAGTTATGAGCGAACATTATTGCAGTGCTTTAGACACAGTTATTAGGTCATTGCCGAATGACTTCTGACTTTTCTGTGGTTGTGTTTCTGTGGTTGTAGAGCTATGGTTGTATGGTGTACAGAGGTCTATGGTTTTATTAAACACCAACATAGCACACACACTGCGACGAGATAATGTATTACCTACAAACGTACCGGCCTAGAAGAAAAATTATTATGTGACAGAGTAAAATCTGCGTCCTTTACCATATTACTTTCGACAGTATGAACACCTCAGCAATTAACAGTAACAGCTAACACCTTATATGCGTAATTCATTGAGTTTAGTGACACCAAAACCCGAGCTAAAACCACCCCGACAGACAGCCGAGCCTTTGATAGGTCACGGTTGTTCCCTGCGCTACTCACAGAGGCTGTGTTTCCAGCTGCGGCCGAGCGATGAGCAGAACCCAATACTGCGGCGTCTTCCATCCTCCTCTCTCCTCTCTTCATTATTGTCACCGAGTTGGTTGTCCACCGATGGATCCGGGTGCACCGACGGCGGATCTGGCTGTACCGAGTCCGCATCCGTCGCCAGCGTCTCACTCTGAATGGAGCTAGCACCGGCGGCGGTCCAGCCCCCTCCAGATTCTGGTGTGGTCTCTCGTGACTGTCCTGTCCCGCTGGAGCCTGCCGTTGCTTGTCTGTCCGGTCTGACATCAGGAAGTGTCTCAGGCTCCAGTCTGGAGTCTCCCAAGGCAGTCTGACTGTTGTTTGGATCCATCTCAGAAGAGTTGTGTTGCCTGTCATCCATCCCTGCCACTGCTGCCGCTGCTTCAGTGATTTCCGTGGACACTGCGGCTGAACCTAGTCTACCTCTTGCAGTAGCTCCAGCTTCTGTCGTCGCTATTCCGTCATCCCCGACTTTTGGACAAGCTGCTGGCTGGGAAGAAGACACAGCGCTAGCAGCAGTAGTAGTAGAATTAGCAGCAGTGGCAGCAGCAGAAGCGGCGGCAGCAGCAGCCGCTGTGGTCGGCTCACCACCCGCGGATTCAAGGGAGACCTCGTCTTCCCCTTGCCGACCAACACGTTCAGCCAGTTTCAGCAGACGAACCATCCGCTCCAGATCCTGTACAGACACAGCGGGAGAAGGGGGAGGGTGGAAAGGTTAACTATGGGAGAGACAAAGGGTCATTGCCATTCAGCATTGATCTCCTCACAGAAAAGACGGATGGTCATTCGGCAATGACCTAATAACTGTGTCTAAAGCACTGCAATAATGCTCGCTTACAACTTGTTTGTTCGCATCTTCTAAATGAAAGACATTTTACAATGCTTTGAAAACTACCTAAACGATTAATGAAGTCACATCTTTGATTCAGGAATCTTTCAAGTCATGAACAATGAACATCTTTAACGCAGCAAACCATACAAACTATGTGCCTTGACTTGTTCAATGCCGACCATGGTACAGTTAGGAGATATAAAATCCACACCGAGAGCTCAGCATCCGTCTCTTACCGGCGTGGTGACACCGAAGCACTCGGCCACCAGCAGGGCCTGCCGGAGGTGTCCCTCATCCACCAGTTGGCCCAGCACGGCCCGGACAGTACTCAGCTGATCGGGGGTCAGCGCGGGCTGCACGGGACGCCGGCCCGACGCCAGTAGCGGCCGGCGGTACAGCAGCGGCTGGTGGGTGGGGGAGGGCGTGGGGGACGGCTCCGGCTCCTCTACCTGTGGGGATAGAGAGAGAGGGTATGTGCGTGTCATTTTTCCAAGTAAAGCTACATACCAACTGATATCAGAAAGTAAACGGTAAAACCAGAATTGATTCTAGAGAACCTTCGCAGGACATACAATGAAATGGCAGACACATCCGACCCAAGCCTCATTGGTGCTTAGTTATCCCACCGACCGTCCCCAAACTACACCTCTGGATATTGCACCATTCTCCCACCAACAGCAGCATTACCCCCCCCCCCCCTCCACACACACACCGTAACCCTTTCCCCAGCTCACCCACATACCGTTTCCCCATTCCTCCACTTACAATTTCTCTGTACTCCCTCAATGACCGTTTCCTCGTTCCTCTTTCTGTTCCCCTCCGTCCACCCACTCTTCTCCCGTCCCCCAGTAACCGTTTCCTCATTCACCAATAACCGTAACTATCCCTTTTCCATCCACTGACCATTTCGCCGTTGATCCGTGCCCAAGTGTAGGCGGTCCACACGCTCCGCTCCAGCGCCGTAATGTCACAGTCGGGATCAGCGCGGCGGTCGGGGCTGAGCCAGTCCCAGGCCAGCTTCAGACACACGTACCTGAGACGTACAACAGACATATACACCTACTGAGCCAGTCCCAGGCCAGCTTCAGACACACGTACCTGAGACGTACAACAGACATATACACCTACTGAGCCAGTCCCAGGCCAGCTTCAGACACACGTACCTGAGAGGTACAACAGACATATACACCTACTGAGCCAGTCCCAGGCCAGCTTCAGACACACGTACCTGAGACGTACAACAGACATATACACCTACTGAGCCAGTCCCAGGCCAGCTTCAGACACACGTACCTGAGACGTACAACAGACATATACACCTACTGAGCCAGTCCCAGGCCAGCTTCAGACACACGTACCTGAGACGTACAACAGACATATACACCTACTGAGCCAGTCCCAGGCCAGCTTCAGACACACGTACCTGAGACGTACAACAGACATATACACCTACTGAGCCAGTCCCAGGCCAGCTTCAGACACACGTACCTGAGAGGTCACACAAGGAAACGTATTCCGATCAGTTCATACATATATATTCATATTTCGCAGGACAGCATGCATGAAAATACTTGTTAACACACATAACAATCAACAACTTCTTTATTGAGTCAGAACATGGTCTGTCAAAGTACGCATTGTAAAATAAGACAACTTTATAAAGTAATCTATTAATGGTAACTTACCCCTCCTCACCGTCCCTCTGAGACAAAACTCTGTCACATTCTGAGACACTAAGCCTTGCGTCTCACTTTCCCTCCCCCTTCCCACGTACAAAACCCACCTCTCTGAGACGCTGAGGGCCGTCTCGGCGTGTTTTCTGAAGAAGGCCACCGCCTCGGTCCTGGAGAGCTGTTTCTCCGTGAACCGGCCGCTGCACTGTCTCCAGAACGTGACCCGGTCCTCGTCACCCACCTCACGGAGGTCAGAGGTCACCTGTGGGTTACAAAGGGGTCACCTGGAGCCAGAGGTCACCTAGGGGTCAGATAGGGGTCACTGACCTTAACAGAGTCACTAGGAAGTCACAAGTACGACAATGACGTCACACAAAGTCAGTGGTCTTCAAAGAGGCCATGGATCTGCAGCAGGTCACACAAGGTCACAAAATAAGCTGCACTTAAAACACCCATCACAGATGATCACTACAAAGCGTAAGCAGCATCCCACACCCCACACGCAACATCATCCCCTGCAACACTCCCTCCTCACCTGAGTGAGTACCACGGGATCGGGACTGACTCCGGCGGCCAGTGCCAGCCGATCGGCCCGCTCCAGTTCCCCGGCCGTGCACAGTGCTGCCACCGCGCGGCTGGCCTCCAAGCGCAGCTGCTCGGCGCCGCCGCCAGGTGGCAGGGCCGTCAGCCAGTCCAGCCGCACGGCGCTGGGGCCGAGGACCGTGCTGAGCCGCAGTAAGAGAGGCAGGTCCGGCCGCTCGGCTGGAGAGGGGAGGGGATCAGTCTACTGAGCCGCAGTAAGAGAGGTAGGTCCGGCCGCTCGCCTGGAGAGGGGAGGGGATCAGTCAGGGAAACGGTATCAATCGAATGCGGCACGGAGCTGGCAGTCGAGAAGCTAGGGCTCACCTATCCGTGCTTCTATCCTCAGGATACTGAAATCCTTCTCCTCCAAGCCGCAACCCCCCTCCGGGCTGGACAGGCAACTTTATCTCATGCGGGCTGCTCCCTTGGAGCGGCACCGCTGCACCTGAGGGAGCGCACCCCGTAGCCGGGTGCAGTGAGTGCCTTGGGGCTGGGTGGCCTGTCCTCTGGACGGGCTCAGCCCCGGCGACTCACTAGGGTGCCTGCCCAGACCAATGTCTCCCCCTAAATCCTATCATCCTTCCGGCTCTGCAATGGTCTTGTCGACCGAAAGGGCCTAACCCAACAAAAAAAAAGCTAGGGCTGTCATTGCATCTTTGATTAGGTCATCATCACCGTTCCGTGCTTCTATCCTCAGGATACTGAAATCCTTCTCCTCCACGCCGCAACCCCCCTCCGGGCTGGACAGGCAACTTTATCTCATACGGGCTGCTCCCTTGGAGCGGCACCGCTGCTCCCGAGGGAGCGCACCCCGTAGCCGGGTGCACTGAGTGCCTTGGGGCTGGGTGGCCTGTCCTCTGGACGGGCTCAGCCCCGGCGACTCACTAGGGTGCCTGCCCAGACCAATGTCTCCCCCTATATCCTATCATCCTCCCGGCTCTGAAATGGTCTCAATGGACCGAAAGGGCCTAACCCAACAAAACAAAAACAAACAAACAATTGATTAGGTCACTTTGCTTTCTATTTTGGTATTTAAGCACGTTACGCTGAGTGATAGCTTGATATTTTACCGCGATGAGCAATTTATAACAAATTCTTACAGCAAAAAATGTAAAAAATACAGACCAAGCTAAACCGTGCTTTGGAACAGATTCATAGTCAAGTCGTTGGTATTAACCAACGAAACGTACCTGCCCGCAGACACATTACTCCTTTCCTACCAAAGCCCTAAATATCACCCCAATCCGCCTCTCTACTACTTAGTGTCACTTCTTACCCTGTTCGGTCACCAGCATCTCCACGAGCCTGGCGTCGATCATCAGTCCCAGCAGTCGGGCCCGGCCGGCCGAGGTGAGCAGGGTGGACAGGGACGACAGCAGGAGCGAGAGGACGGTGGTGCTCAGCCAGTGGCGGTCGTAGATGAACAACTCCGACTGGAAGAGAGAACAGGGGTTAATAGAGAGTGGCGACGGTAGAGCATCACTGAATAAACAGTACGTTCTTGGGAAACATACTAACAATACTGAATAATAATTAGTCTGGTATGTCCGGTCGGGTCATGTTCAATCCATCCGCCATTTTTTTTTTTTATACTGCTATACCGCGGGCGCGGCATGCCATTCTTACCAGTAGGTACATATACCATACAGTCATACCATTCTTCATACCTTCTGCATACCCGCGTCTTTTCTTCAATCATCCCGTTCCCTCTCCCATTTTATCCAGGAGCAATATCACCCATTCCCTCTCGTCCCATTTCCCTCCCATCTCACCAGCGAAGCCCACTCACGTCCTGCTGTTTCGTGGTGTTCCGCAGTGCCTCCATCATGTTGAGCATCAGCTCGGCCGGCAGGTGCGGCTCCTCCAGCGTCATCAGGCTCTCCAGCAGCTGGATTGTCAGACGCAGCGCGCAGTCCTGGGCGGGGCGGGGGGCGGAGTGGGGGTGAAACGGTCAGAAAAAGGACGCGCTAGGGCGGGTGGCAGCCTGGCAGGTAGCCGCATCAGCCCGACACAGATTAATATTTAAAATACCCTCCAGTAAAAAATACATGTCCACTCAAAACTCAACAAAACAGAGAGTTGAGAATACAAAGGCAATAAAAATGACAATGTCGCACCTAAAAAGCAGCGTAAGATCGAAATAATTCAAAGAGCGACAACGACCACGTCACCACAAAAAAAATGACCGCCCGTACCTAAAATTCCCACCTTTCAGAAATAAACTACCTTTCACACCCATATGCCTCTCCCGCAAACCAAGCAGCTCACTCCAGCCCATCCAGACCTCCTAACAGAACACCAAACCTCCTCTCGATCACTAACCGGAAAGAACACCGCCAGTGCCCTGTCTAAGCTCCGGAGCCGACGTGTGCGTACGGCCAGCAGTGCCAGCCGCTTGAGACGGACACAGGCGGCCTCCTCGGCCGGTGTCGGTGCGGAGAGGGACGTCTCCAGCCAGCCGCAGAGGCAGTCACCGGCACTGACGTCCTGCGCGGGGAGACAGAGAGTCAGAGTATGACTGAGAGAGAGAGAGAGAGAGAGAGAGAGAGAGAGAGAGAGAGAGAGAGAGAGAGAGAGAGAGAGAGAGAAAGAGAGAAAGAGAGAAAGAGAGAAAGAGAGAAAGAGAGAAAGAGAGAAAGAGAGAAAGAGAGAAAGAGAGAAAGAAAGAAAGAAAGAAAGAAAGAAAGAAAGAGAGTGAGAGTGAGAGTGAGAGTGAGAGTGAGAGTGAGAGTGAGAGTGAGAGTGAGAGTGAGAGTGAGAGTGAGAGTGAGAGTGAGAGTGAGAGTGAGAGTGAGAGACAGAGACAGAGAGAGAGAGAGAGAGAGAGAGAGAGAGAGAGAGAGAGAGAGAGAGAGAGAGAGAGAGAGAGAGAGAGAGAGAGAGAGAGAGAGAGAAGTGCTGCGTTTTCCCGTCACTGTCAGTTAACGCGCTCTGTCCGGTTTCCCGTCAGGAGGAGCGCACTCAGGAGGAATCCGAGGAAGTGGAGGAGGAGGAGCCCGAGGAGGAGAGCTCGGAGGACGAGGACGAGACTGAGAACACTTTCCAAAGCGAGAACGGTAGGGAAGGCGGCTCAGGGGCACGATGGAGGACTCTCGAAGAGAGCTTAATGAGCGACCTTACTTGGAACATACCGCTCCTGCCTGTCTTCTGCAATGTTCAGTATACTCGGCGTTGATACCCGAGCCCGGAGCCCATCCCATATTGTAGCCCATCTGTCTTTTTCTTATGCGACTCGCCGCAGGCTCCGGCTGGGGCCGGAACCTTGCAGATAGAGCGTCCGGGACCGGACGCTGCCGCCGCGGCCGCCAAGGTGACCCCTGTCCGTCTGAACCAACAAACGCCCTTCCCTGCTCCATGTCGACCCCCCACAGTGTGATACATTATTTCAACACTGACCGCAGTGACCGAATGAAATGAAATCAACCTACGATTGATGCCAATGCAAGCATGCTCATTGCTCAACAGTACAACGCAAAAAAAGATACGAAACAGAGGTGTAAAGTTTTGGTGAGGGAGTACTGTTCATTCATTATTCAACGACCCTTTTCATTCGGATTTTCCTAGCTTCTTCCCTTTTCGCTGGTGCATCATCACATCAAATTACTATTATCTGGCTTCTTCTTTGGTAACACGTAACCCGCGCCGGGCCGGTGCTCTGAGATTCCGCGCCGGGCCGGGGGGAGGGGGGTGTCTGAACACCCCCCTTCTAACTCGGCTCCTGGGCCACGTAGCAACACACGGTAAGCGGCAATCGAAAGAACGTCCAAAATAAGGACGAAAACACTTCAGTCATTTTATGGGTCAGGTTAAAGGTCAGGTCACCAGAGGTCACCAAAGGTGAAATGTTGACTATTTCAACATTTTGGAAACTGCCGACGGCTACCTCGGGAACCGATAGAGCTACAGCGCCGCGGAAAAGCGCATTCGATAGCCCTTTTACAAACATTTCTGACTAATGATCTCAGATTTGACATCAGGTCAACGGTTCAACCTCCAGAGGGCAAAAACTCCAAAAATAGCCGTTTTTACGAAAAGCGTTTTTTTCGGCAATAACTTATGACTCAAAAGAGCCATGACATTACTTTTGCCAGCATCGTGTTCCTCTCGTCGAGACTCGTCGAATGAACTATAATTTGACCTTGAAAGGTCAACTTTTAAAATTTGACCTCAGGTCAAAGTCTTGACCTGACCGGAAAAGGTCATGTTGCATATCCGTCGATCCGCAACGTCGAGCCGAACACATCAAAGGCGTTTTCAGCGCTCTAGCACGTCTCTATCAGAGGTTATTAGCGAAAAACTGTTAGATTCTGTTCGTGACCTGAGATGACCTCGGGGACATAACGAGGGGTCACAGTTGCCATTTTCCGGTTCAGTGTGTCAATCTTACCTACATCTCGATGTTTGAGTGTCTAGAATAGCGTTCGTGCAAAACAGACGCTTTTCAATTTTCTCCCATTGACTTATAATGGAGTGGCCGCAAAATTGACCTGACCTTAGGTCACCGATATCAAAATTCCGAGATATACATTTTATAGACAGGCGTGCCAGCCGCCGCTTTTGAGATATCTGCGAAAAGCCGCAGGTGGGGGTGTTCACTGTTCAAACACCCCCCCCCCCCCCCCGACCCGGCGCGGTTTAAGCTATGGCAAAACATCCCTGCACCTCAATTCCTGCTTGCATCTATCTAAAATTTTCTTCAGAAGTCACTGTGAACAGAACTGCCATGATCAGCAGAAAACCCTTGTAATATATTGGTCCATGGCAGCTTGTAAATGTTTATCGCTCAGTCTGTCGGTCACGGGACCGGGCCGCGTCACCGGATGTGGCGCCTCCGACAGAGGTCAGCCGCACCGAGCTCTGCAGACGTCTTGCCAGCTCCGAGCCGTCAGTCCGAGGCCGACAGCCGGCGCCAGAGGTGCCTCCTTCTTGGCCACGATGGCCCGCGGCTGGAGAGGAATCCTCGTGTCGACCTTGCTGGTGGTGTCTGCCGGCTGTTCCGCGGCGCAGCAGCAGCAGCAGCAGCAGCCGCAGCAGCAGGCCGCCCTGCCCAGCGCCACTGCCGACGAGGTGTTCAGCATCATCGCAAGAGCAGTTCAGCAAGAGCTACGGCCAGTCGTCAGTAAACTTGAGTCACAAGTGGAGTCACTGGACAAAACGGTCAGAAGGCACGAGTCTCGGGTGGAGTCGCTAGACAACAGACTGACTCTTCTCGACTCCAGGATGAGTACGCTGACTGCCCACGTGTTGACGAACCGACTAGGTGAGCGGATGGAAGAGGTGTCCAGTCAACTGAGTGGAATCACTGCGAGACTCGACAGCCAGCAATCACAACTCGACAGCCAGCAATCACAACTCGACAGTCAACTATCTCAACTGAGTGAGCTCAACACCCAGCTAAATGAACAAAATTCTCAACAAGAGGAGACTGCAGCTACAGTGAACAATGTCACAGCGCAACTGGATACCGTCGTTACACAGCAAGAAGATCAACTCACAGAGACGTCCAAACTGGTCATAAGGCTCGACAGCCAACAATCTCAACTGAGTGAGCTCAACGCCAAACTGAAACAACAGAAGGCACAACAGGGGGAGATTGAAGCCACAGTGAACGACAATGTAGATCGACTTGAATACAACGTCACTTTGTTGGAAAATCAACTAACAAAGGTGTCTGGACTGGCCAACAGACTCGACAGCCAGCAATCACAACTGGACGAGCTCAGTGACCAACTGAACGAACAAAAATCACTTCAAAACGTCACTGCGGTTACAACGGATGATCACCTCTTGACAGCACCTCTTGATGCCACGACATCTCAGACTGTCACTCTGGGGTCCCAGCTGGCTGAAACCATGAATAAGACAGCAGCCTCAAAGGAGAGCATAGATCATCTGGCTTCTGAGGTAAAGCAGCCGCCAACTCCCCGTGATTGCAGCGGTCTGCCTGTCGGCTCTCCATCTGGTGTCTACCTCCTCAGGCCCAGTGGCGACAGCACACAACCACCCGTCCAGTCGTACTGCGACATGGACACTGCCGGAGGGAACTGGACGGTGATCCAACGACGTGACGACATCGAGCCCCGCCAGGATTTCTACCTGGGATGGAAGGAGTATAAGGAGGGATTCGGTGATGTAACCAAAGAATTCTGGTGGGGCCTTGAGCACCTGTTTCAGCTGACGTCATCAGACCGACGTTACGAGCTTCGAGTTGATCTTGAGGCGTTCGACGGCAGTCGCAGACACGCTACCTACCAAGGGTTCCGTATCTCGTCTGAGGAGGACGGCTACCAACTGAGCGTCTCCGACTACTCGGGAACTGCCGGGAATGGTCTGAAGTTCAGCGTCAATGAGAAGTTCTCTACCCGTGACCGTGACCAGGACGGCAGGTCTGACGTTCACTGTGCACAGCGCCATCAGGGGCCCTGGTGGTACGGCTGGAGGTGGTTGTGCGGGTGGAGCAACCTGAACGGACGGTACCGGGACGGCAGTAAATGGGACCGCACTGGAATATGGTGGTGGAGGTGGAGGGAAGCTGAGTCACTGAAGAAGACCGATATGAAGATCCGGCCCACCTAACTCATCTGCATTAAGGAGGACACCACGGTGATGCACACTGCACAGTGTAGGTCACACGTGCATGTGGCACGTGTACCGTGCGGCAGCCGCGGCCAGTGGTTCGGCCTGCCGGTGCTGTAACTGCACAACTATTATCTGCTAAGAGCGTCGTGCTGGGGAGCTTATAGATTGTTTATCTACGGACGAAAAGTAGCGTCTATATACGCATATGATTCTATGTCCATAATACCTGCATGTTTTTAGTCATTAACGCCTGTTTGTATGTATATGACAATTATGAAACGTTTGAGCCAATACATTTCAGTAACACCAAGAGACCGTCAACTGTGTTGCCTGTTTCACACAAATTCACCGTGTGCCGTCCCACCTCTACCTGCTGTTTTCAGAGGAGCAGGGCGACAGTAGAATGTTGGCACGGCCACCGGGGACAGTACACTTACATCGGGGACGCGTCCCCGAACACCACCGTCCGGACGGTGGTGTTAGGGTGTTACAAAGGAGACGGTTCTTCACATAGTTACATCACGGTGTATAGAGAACGAGAACATGATGTGAAGATTGCAAATGTTGGATAACTATTTACCGACCGATACTCCTGAATGTAATACCGACACACCGACGAGAAAGGGTACTAAATACCGAGGGCTCTGGTCCAAAACGATTTCCTGTAGGGTACGGTTATATTATGCATACCGTTTTCATACGCCCCAAATTACTTTGACGGAATCGTTTGGGCAATTAAAACATATCCTCAACCCCTTTGCCAGACCCCTCTTTTTCCCTGTTTCTCTCCATTCTACAGTATTCAGCATAGTCAGAGTTAATACTCGCTGAGGTTCACCACACTGCAGCCCATCCGCCCTTTTCTGATACGATCCGCCATGACACGCTCCGGCTGGGGCCGGGCCAGTGCAGATAGAGCGTCCGGTCGCTGCCGCCGGGGCCGCCAAGGTGACCCCTGTCCGTCTGAACAAACAAACGCCCTTCCTTGCTCCATGTCGACCCCCCTCCCCACACACGGTGTGATAAGTTAGTTCAACGCTGGCCGCCATGACAGGATTGCTCGATTCCAATTCAAGCAATTCAATAGTACACACCGCAAGCAAAAGCAAAATGTTGTTTGAATGGACGGATCGAATGTTTGAATGGACGGATTGACAGAGCCGGAGCTCACGCTAAGCAGAGCTTGTTGCGTGGACCCCGAACCCTACCGTCCAATCGCACAATTCCGGGTAACGGTAAAATTTTGACGCCAAAGTTTAACGTGCCCTTCAAAGCCGGACACGGCCTGTCCCACTCAACTGACATCAACTGGCTGCGGCTGCTCCCACCAACCGTAGACCATCCCCGTCAGGAGTCTCAAATGTCGAGCGCCAGAGCGACTCGAACACGGGCTCTCACTACCAGGAATCAAATGCTATACCAACTGAGTTTAGACAGGCTCTCTTCGCTGGTTCATTCATCTGAATGCTGATTCATCTTACATACTTTGATTCCAATCGCAAGCTTACGTCTTTCTCAGCCTAAGCCGGCATCTTATTGGACTTCGGTCAAACCTTGTCAGCCTCATTGCCAGAACTCATCCTAACTTCCTAAAATATCAAACAACATTATCCTTCAAACACACTAACACGCTCCTCCAACACTCCAACGCTCACCTCGCACTCGGTAGCCAAGGCGGCCAGAGCCGGCAGCGCCATCTGCCTGGCGGCCTGCAGCAGCGCCCTGCCCGGACACGGGTCCGCAGCGGCCTCCACTACAGCGGCCAGCATCGACTACATCAAAGAAAATGGAGGGAAAAGATCAGTGAACTCAGTGGTGGACGGTGGTGAACAGAGATCAGTGTGGATATTGTGGTCTGAAAATTATTGACAAGTGTTTAGTGGAACCGAATTCGGTTATTTAGATACTTACACATACACTACTGATCATTGACCATCGATGGTCAATGATCAGTAGTGTATGTGTAAGTATCTAAATAACAGTGTCATCAATCATGATGCCAGTGCCTAGCTAGAGATAAGCTGGCTTGAAAAAGAACGGAAAGTCGACGCAAGGCACTCACAGTCTACAAGTTAATATGAGAAATGATTAAAGAACCAACCAGTCAGAACACACACTGATAAGCAAGACTCGTACAACGCTTTCACCCACTGGCATTATTCCACCCTGCAACGCAAAGTGTCATGAGAGCTCGAGTCACCCCCCCCCCCGCGTGCTCACCTGCGGCGGCGCATCCCTGGACGGCGGCACGGCCGTCAGGGCCGGAGTCGGCGGCCCGCCCGCTCCGCCCGGCGGTGACGAGCTGACCGACGTCTCCGGCGAGGCCGTGCTCCACTCGTGTTCCGTGTCTGAGGTGACCCGACGCCGGGACGATTTACCGGCCGGTCGGGTCAGCAGCAGACAGCGCAGCGCGCAGCCCAGAGTCTGGCGTAATGAGGACTGGGAGAAACCGGCCGAGAGACGCAGTACCTGCGGAGAAAAGGGAATTCGTGGAGGGCTGATGGCTGGCAAACACTGGACACCACTAACAATAAAATCGTGAGCATTCCGGCAGATGGTTGACCCCAGGTAGCTCAGCGTACAAAAATAACTACCACATTAACACTTACCCGTGGCCATCCAATTCGACACACGAATCCCGATAGTCGAAAAAGCCGACGGAAGGATACAGAGAATGACATTAATTTACCTACGCATCGCATTAATTTAAATCATGGCACGGCATGCTTTTCCGAGGAACGAATAGCACACAGTCCACTGTCCATGCTCACCTGATCCCGTGGGTACTGGTAGATCTGAGCGAACAGCAGGAACGCCAGCCACTCATCTCTGGCAGCCAGCCGGGCCAAATACCGCTCAGGGAACGGTAAATGGAGTTTCACCGCCAAAGTCAGCGCGTGCCGCCACTGGCAGAACTCGGTGGCACGCTGATGCCACCTAGCGGCCGTGTCACAGGCTGTAGTGACGGTATCGGCCGCTAGAAGCGCTGTCATCATTCGCTGCTCGTGGTGTGCGAGGAGCGTAGCGGCGGCTTTGGTGTCACCAAGTAGCAGGCCACGGACGAGCTCGGCTGAAACAGTAGAACACAGGCCAGCTGTTAATCGGAGCAGACATTTAGTGATGAATTATAAAACACTTCACCTGACTGGGGGAGGGGTCGAAATGATAAAAAATGGAGACTGGAAAACAGCAGCGAACGGGTTGCCGCAAATGGCTCGCTGGCCAGTGACATAAAGCAGGTAGTGGATACCCGCGTAGGCGCGTAGCCAGAGCACATTCGCCTTTGAGTTAGAGAGTGGGTGAGCTGTGTATCAACATTCAGTGGGCGTGGTCTTACCTCTGAGTGGCTGTGGCACATCTCTCACAGCGGTGAGCTGGGCTCTCAGCAGCGCGACGTCATGTCCCAGGAGATGTTGGAAGACCACACACCCCGTGACGACCGCGCGCCGTTGCCGACAGTCATCACAGTCCGCCGAGTCGAGTAGCTGGCGGCTGTCGCAGCTGTCAGTGAAGCTGTCAGAGGTGTGACAGCTGTCACAGGAGCAGCTGTCACAGCTCTGTCGCAGAGCCAGCTCGGCAGCCCAGTCACAGGCCAGGCGGGTGCTGCGGAGACGAGACAGAAGAATAGAGTCAGGGTAGTGGAAGGAGGATGGAAGATTGAGTCAGTTTGTACGAAAAATGTTTACGATTTTACTTTTGCGTTTCGTGATCTATGATAAGTTCCTTGTTGCATGCTTACATTTTTACGTGTTGACGTTCATTCATAGTGTTATATTTTCATTTCTTATCATACACTTGTGACATGAGATCAATGATATTAGGACGCAAGGTGCTACTTTACACGTCTGGCAGTTCGAATCTTACATCACAACGTATGCTTCATGCTGGCATTGATTGTCTCGTATAGCACAGCGCATACCTCACCAGTCACACCCCATATCTCACCTGGCAAAGTCCCTCCTGCCGGCCACCTCTCCTCCATTGAGCAGATGACAGACGGCGAACAGCGGCCGTCCCTGGCGCAGGTAGCCGCGGTAGGCCGGCGGCCGGACCGGGAACGCCGTCTCAGAACCGTCTGGTGAGTCACGGATGGGGTCTGACGAGGAGTCGGCACTGCAGGGTGTGCCCTCCGTCCTGGAGGGGGGGGGGGGTGATCAACAGGGATCATAGGTACTGGTGAGTTGATCGTGGTACGAGATTAACTAATTGAACAGCTCGATTAAGATTTCCATGACAAACTGCCAGTTTAAAGATACACGAATAAAGCAAAACTTTTCATTGAAGAATTTCACTATCAATATGCCTGTCATTCTAATTTGAATTTCATGAAAATACGTAGCCGAAAAAATATAGCATCCAATCTTGTTCTGCAATATTCTACGAGCATCAAGCAATTTCTTACTTATTCAAGTCCGCCAGTTGATTGGGTCGTTGCGAGCCTCCCTGTAGGTCCCTCCCCAGAGGCCCAACCGACCCGACGTCAGCCCCCGCATCTGTACCTCCCTCTGAGACCCACCCATCCCACTCACCTGGTGTCCTGAAGTGACCGCAACAGACCAACCAGTCTATCCGGACACCGTCCTGGTAGCAGCTCGGACAGACTGGGCGACTCATCAGTCGAGTCGGAAGGACCGGCCGCCTCGGCACCAGAGTTAGGTGTCTCTGCAGTCTCACCAGCCGGGCTGGGAGTCTCGGCGTTTTTAGCAGCCGGGTTCTCAGCAGATTCAGCAGTGCAGCTGCTGAGTACTTTCGCATTCTCCTGAGAATGTTCACCAGTCTCAGCAGGTCCATCAGCTGTTACCAGCGAATCAGCATTATCAGGGATCTTAGCTGGGGTTTCAGCAGTATCAAAAGTTGGCTCTGTCGTTTCACGTATTTCGCTAGATCGTCTTGGCGTCTCTGCAATCTCGGGAGCTGACTTCGCTGTCTCATCGACCGGTCTCGCCGTTTCTGTTCTCTGGACATCCGACTCGGACGTTTCACTGGTCACCACAGCGGAAAGCGACTTCTCATCAGTACCAGTAGTCAAACTCGATGTCTCAGCAGCTTTACTGTCCGACGCTGGCGTATCAGCAGTCTCCGCTGTCGAGTTGGACGGATCAGCAGTAGGGTTTGACGGCTCAGCCGTCTCAGTAGCTCCCATAGCTTCCTCAGCCGCACTTTCCACTACCAGCAATCGCCTCAGCTCGGGCCATATCGTCGTCTCGTCCCCAGTCGGCCAGAGTAGGTCGATCAGAGGCGGCAGCGGCCGGCCGGCAGCCAGTGCCGCTCCCAGTCGATACCAAGGCCGTGCAGAGAGATACTCCGACACAGATTCACCCACGCGGCCCGCCTGGTAAGCAGCTTCAGCCTCCAGTAAAGCGGCAAGGGCTCTACCGCGGTCGGTTCCTGTCCCTTCCCGCGGCGCTGTCTTTGAGTCACTCTCGAAGCCCTCCACTGCCAGCAGAGCTGCGACACGATCCAGCGGAGCGCCGGGCCTCCGCAGCTCCGCCGGCAGCTGTCGCAGCTCATCTCGACTCGGCGGTAGCTGCCGCAGCCAGCCGAGCAGAGCTGGTTGTAGCGACGGTTGTCGTTCGGCTGCCGAAGCCAGAAGACGGAGACCGGCGCGGCGGACGGTCGGAGGTGGGGAGACGCCGGAGAGCAGGCCGGCGCGGAGAACTCGGCGGCAGAGGAGATGCGGAGAGGAGAGACTGGCGGCGCTGTACCGGCCGCGCCTGCGGGCGGAGAGATCGGGGGGGGGAGGGGGCGTCAGTGAGTCTAAACTCCGAATCATGGGACAAGATGATAGTCACTGGGACAGAGATAAGGAGAGATAATGAGGGACAGACACAGAACTAAACGTAAGATATAAGAGCTATCATTGACCTCAATAAGAACAACGACACGATCACAAGACCTTTCAAATGACAGAAACATGGCAAATGAACCAGGAAACGTCGGATCGAATGACTTCCGACCCCACGTCTACCGCACTAATACAAAATAAGCACTGAAGGGAGAGACCAAAGCTCATTCTATCGTCATTCGTAGGATATCACAAACGTTTGCAAATGACCAGCCTGTCCCCTGCAAAAATTGTTCCCAATGCCATAATTTTCTTTGAAATAGTCCCTGACTTGTTTCCCCACCCTAATATTACTCCTCCGACTTGACGCCTGACCAGCTGAACCCTTGTCACCCACCTGGCCAGCTCATCCAGCACCAGCTCCTTTATACGTCCTCCGCACTCCTCCGTTATATCAGCCACATCAGTCGCCACTTTCAGCGCCCGAATCCAGCCGGGCGGTGGCGGACGGGAGGCCGGACCATAGCCGGCGGCCGGCCCCAGCAGCGGGGTGGGGTCCTCCGCGGCGGCTCTGCTCTCTGGTTCTGTACCGGGGAGCTGAGACTCTACCTCTGCTGACGTATCGTCATTGGTTGTGTCTGGTTTGGGCTCTATCGCATCGCTTGCATCTTCTGTCTTCACTTTTCCGACTTTTGTATTATCTCCTCTCTGGTCTATCGCTTCTCTTGTATGCCCTGATTTCTCTCTATCGTCTCCTAGCTTCTCTCGTCTGTTTTCTTTGACATCTCTTACTTGCTCTGTCTTCACTCCTCTGCCTTCCTCCTTTTCTCTGCTGTTCTTTCTCCTGTCTTTTGCTCTTCCATCCTGAGCCCGAACGGTCCCTTCCTTCACCATCTCTCTCCCCTTCTTTGGAGCATTCCTCCCGTCCTCTGCCCCGTCTCTCCGCTCCTCTCTCCCGACACCAGCAGCATCCAGCCAGGCTCTCAGCCACAGGAGACTTCCGGCAGTCACCAGATATCTCCAGACCTCGGCAGCTGGACGGGCAGCAGCGGCACGGATCATTTCAGCATCTGCCGGCGAGCACAGATAATGCGACGTCATGCCTACATTGAAGCTAAGACTGCTCAGACAGTATATTAAGTCATGCAATGTTAATAATGAGACAGTATATTATGTCATACAATGTCGATAATCCCAGTATTGTCATTGTTCTTCAATTACTTCAAAGCGAAAACACACTAGCATCCATGCAATGATTTTGTGAATTTAGAGATAGCTTCTGCTCTAGCAGCACGTTCTCTGCTTTCGACCATGCGTGTGTGACGCATGTGCTGGCCCCTCTCCCCGTTCTCTAACCTTCCAATCCCACGACATGCCCCTCTCACTAACCGTCAGACTTCAGCGCAATGTGGACGATCAGCTGACGGCGTGTCGGTGGCGCCATCCGCAGCAGTTGGCCCAGAGTCGGTGGTGACGGGCCGCTCAGGAGCTGGTCCAGATCTGGTCGGCGGGGACGGCCGGTGCTGGCGACTTCTTCAGTGGCGGGGCTGGGGAAGAAGAGAGGGGTAATGTCAGGGCAGAGTGGGTAACTAAATACACACCGATCAGTTGTGTTGGAATGGTAACGTTTAGCGGGCGACCATTCGGAAATCCGAAGCAAAGTTCTGTACTGATAGCCAAGATCATAGCGCAGTTGAATCAATGCTAAGGCCTAGAGGCAGCAAATTAACAAATTCGCATCGCTCGTAGGATTCAACAAATTATGATGAGCTGCTACAGCTGCTGCTAAACGATGAATCCACCGAAATCCACTATAATCAACGGTGAATGTCTACGAGCATTTAAAATAATGCGATAAGCAGATGTTACCGGTGTGGTGTCACGCGACTGACCTCTGTCGGGCGCCCCCAGCCAGCAGCAGCAGCCGCAGCAGCAGCTCGTCTCGCCCTCTCAGCAGCTGCAGCTGCCGCAGCCGGTCCGCCAGCAGCCGGCGTGTGCTGCCGTCCGTAGTGGTCAGCAGCTCGAATCGGAGAGCGTCTGACGGACGCAGACCCTGGGGCACGCGGAGCATAACAGGATACATTGGTCACAGTGATCAAGCCCGCGTGTGCGTGACCGTCTTAACGCATCAAGAGTCGAGACCCGCGGCATCTCTCGTCACCTATTCTGCAAGTGATTCTTCCGGCTTTCTGTCTCTATTAATTGCTTCCTAGCATTCATTTTCCACAACAAATTGTTCTCGTTCCCGTTGACGTTATTCGAGACCTCGGCTACTACTTTCTCTTTCTGACAAAGGCACTCCAGTCCCAACATAAAACAATGTTCCCATCTGTAGGCACATGCTCTAAGCATTTCCTTCTCATTCCCGACATATTCAATCTCTAATTTGACATGCCCCTTTTCCTTCCTCACACCCCATTCCTGTTCGTATTTCTTTATCTATATCCCCCACCTTCACTCACCGTAGCACTCAGCACTATGTCAGTTTCCATCGTCCTCCCATTCTTCAATCCCTCCATCGCCCACTGCACCGCCAGCCGATAGATCCGCGGCCAGCGGGCTCCGAGCCGCACGGCCCAGCCGGCCGGGGGTGGCGGCGGTGGTGGGTCAGGGTCTAGTTTCAGTCGACCGGTCTCCAGGAGCTGTAGACGACTCTCCAGAGCCGCACGAATCACCCTCCCGGCGGACCGAAGACACGGGCGGGCGTCAGTGACACCCGGGGAGCGAGGAATTGCAGAAGGTGGTACGTCAGACTCTGTATTAGTCTCTCCCTCAGGTGATCCATCAGGTGTTCCGTGAGACACCCTGCGAGATTCTTGGTCCCCATCCACTTCCTCAGTGCTGTTTCTGTTGGTACTGACATTTGTTTCTGATCTCTCCATTCCCTCTGAGGATGATTCAACTGTAGTGACCTGCCTCTCATGGCGCAAACGAGCTCTCCTACGACGGACACCATCAAGCCTCGTCTCAGCCACCTCCTCTAGGTGCAACGCAGGTGCCAGTAGCTCGGGATCAGCCTCGCGTGGCTCGTCGAGCACGGCCAGCAGGGAGGTCAGTATTTTCTCCAGGGAGTTCAGCACATCGCCCAGCCAGTGGCTGAGGGAGACTGGTGGCCGACTGGCCAGTGCGGTGGCACAGACATGGTCCAAGAAATTGGTGGTGGTGGCCAGGTGATCAGATGGTAGTCTGCCTTCCAGACAGGACAGCACATCTGATGACAAGGTGGAGAAGGGTGAATGAGGACAGGTTAATCAGTGTAAAAAAAAAACATGAAAACCATCTATAAGCAATTTCCTCAAATATTTTGCTGCCAATGGCCATTACCAAAAATGCTAACTATTCCAAAGCTGTTTTGCTGACTTCTTTTCAGCTTACTACAAAAAAAAATCTGCAAAAAAGTACTTAGGTAACTTCTTGATGACTTTCAGGTAAATCAATGAATAACTCTTATCAAATTCAAAACAGCATAGGTACAAACTGGTACAAACCCTTTAAAATTGAAATAAACAGCAACTTACCTCCATGGATTCCAGCCAAATGAAATTCAACTTCATTACGCAGAAGCCCGGTAAAACCAAGACTCAGCAGAGATCTTGAACTTTCAGAAATGTTAGGCATCTGTGCTGAGACTGAGCCCATGTTGATATTGCTGAAAATAGAATGCAGTGGTAGAAAATGAAAATACGCTGCGAGGGGTGTTCACGGGCACCGCACACTGCTGTGGTGCGGTGTGTGCGGTGCGTCCAGCAGGCGTGGGGGTAGGGAATGGGTAGGTGGTTCTTCACGGCTGCCTGCGGTGGACGGTCCGCTGTGGCCAGTCCCGACCGGCCACAGCGATCGCTGTGTGTGGTAACGGAAGGCTGACATAGGGGCGCAGTGGGCGGAGCTTCGAGACTGGGTGCGGTCCGACCGCACATAGGGCCCGTGAACAGCCCTCAGCAGGCGTGGGGGTAGGGAATGGGTAGGCGGTTCTGACGTCACGGCTGCGTGCGGTGGACGGTCCGCTGTGGCCAGTCCCGACCGGCCACAGCGATCACTGTGTGCGGTGACAGATGGCTGACGTGGGGACGAAGTGGGCGGAGCTTCGAGGCTGTGTGCGGTCCGACCGCACACAGGACCCGTGAACAGCCCTGTTGTTGTTCTGGGTTAGGGCGCATAGCAGCTTGGCTCTTGCGTCCAACAACAGCCCTGCGGTCTCAGTCATCACTGGTGTCTTTAGTAGAGTTCAACAAACAAAATATCAACACCAAGATCAACGCCGAGTACGGCATTACTAAAAAATGTAATAATGCTGATGGTATTGAAAGAAAACAAGAAAAGGAACACATCAAAAACCATTGAGGTCTATGACCGACTTTATTTTGATTTTTTCGTATTTCAATTTTGATTTTAGCCGAACCGATGAACGTTTCTTATAGGTATCTTGCGATGAACCCTCTCAAGCCCACCAATGGAGAATGTATGTTCGTTTATAAACGACTCGCTGGCTGTTCGCGGTCAAAATGCACATGTTCACCAATTGCTGTCTCTGATTCAATATCTTTCTCTTTGCATTCCAAAAATCATCCAAAACTGAACACAATAGATGGTTTCGAAGATGTCTCAGTGGCGTCATTTATGCCTAGGTTCCATAAAAATTGCTTCCAAATCAAAGGTTTTCCTTAATAACAGCCCTTTCTGTGCCTTTCTGGCTCGGAGCTAGAACGTGGTGCGCGTGATTGGACGCAATTTTATATTGCAGTCGTCCCACAATTTTCTCAAGCAAAAGAGGAAACTAGACTCAAGGTTAGACTGAATAAGTTGCATTTTATTGCACTAACATTGTTCGTTATTTTCCAATTGCTTCTTGGTGTCAGTGTGGTCGGTCATGAAGCATCGAGTATCATCTATTGCTATTATTTCAAAGATAAACTTGGATTTTTAGATATTTTCGTAAAACATGAAAGCTTTGTACCTCAACTGCTTCAACCTATTTGCTTATATTTTGCCAATGTATTACTGGAAAAAAATTCATACTCCACGCCTTGTGCGCCAAAAGTAATAGGTTTTGCGCCAAAATTTTGGCACAACTTGCACCAAAAGTTGAAGCTTATTTATGCCGAGTTTTAACCTTTTTTACCATTTGAACATACGCACGTGCCTATTCAAGTATACCATAAATGTTATAAAGTTTGCTAACTAAACCAAGGATTAAGGAGACTATGAAAAAAAGCAAGTTGGATAAGCTTGTTCTTCAAGTATGTTCCTTCATAAGCTGAATTTTTCAAAATTGAAATGAGAGAAGACACAAGGCTGCTGTTAGCTGTATGCCAGACTGGAAAAAATACACATTATGCCTAATATGTCTGGCATAGTGGTGGGATTGCGCTAAAAATTTCAGCGCATGTCCGGCGTAACTTGGCATTGCTAAATTCATTGCATGGCGGCGGCTAAATTTTTCGGTGCAGGGCGGTTGGATATTTTTTTTTTGGGCGAAAGACAGTCACCGAATTAAGAATTTAGTCGGCACGCTGGTCAATCTAGGCAGTAGGTTCGCCCTGCGGGTGGCTTTGCAGAAGCTTCGGGACGAGACGTCCCCGCCCCTGTCGTCGCGTGCTCGAACTTACGAGCCGCCCTGAGTCGACTCAGCGGAGGAACGGCCGCCCAGGTGAGGCCTCAACCTTCAGCGTGGAGATAGGTATGGAAAACCTTGTTGAACTTCACCAAGCGTCGTTAAGTAATATTGTAGTGGGTTTCTGCCCATTGCGGTATCGAGGGAATGAGAGCGCGGACGACCTGGCGAAACAAATGGCCGCCCTGCCGTCAAACGCCTGCTCGCTGACCAGGGCGGTTCATTGTGCGGCCACGCATCAATGGCGCTACATTTACAATGTTGTTACTTGTCCGAGTCACTATTCAAGCCACTCCTCGAGAGCACGCCACCGCTCCCTATCCCCGGAAAGGGGACTCCGTTTCGGTGTACCAGATGAGGGCGGGCCACTGGGGCCGCTCGCTCCAGTACGTGCACCGAATCGGCTGCCTCCACTCCGCGGCATGCCAGCAGTGTCCAGACAAGCGGCGCCCCGTGCCGAGAAGAGGCTAATGTGCCGGAGCACGTGCTGCACCGCTGCCCGGGCCTGGCTGGCTCCCGCCAGTCTCGAACACACCGCTCCGCCGATTTGTGTGGCCCCGGAACTTCTGGCCCCGGCCTTGTGTCACGGCATGTCACGGCACGGCATGCCAGGCGTACTGACCTTTTTTCGGATCAGGATGAATGTAGTACTAGTTATTATAACATTTTCTTTATTTCAGATCAGGGTTGGCATTTTTGCCGGCAAAAACTAGTTTATGCCATTTGCCGGTTTAAACCGGTTTTAACCGGCAAAAAGTGGCAAAAACTGGCAAAAACTCAAAACCATTTCAATGCTTTGCCTAGACATGTATTTGAATTGGAAACATTCTATGGGGGATTCAGTGAAAGTTATATGCTTTCAAAAAGAAGTGACATCTTGACCATTCGACCAGTGTTTCATACAATAAAAACATTTTCATGGGCTTCCCGCTTTCCATTAGTAACCAGTACGTCTTTTTGGGGCGACAAATGAGCCAGTGCAAGAGTGATTCCTGCACATGCAGAAGTGCGAAGGGGCGCCTGCCACTGATTTGTGCACGGCACCCATACTCCCTGGTTCCTAACGGTATTAGTACCAAATTTGAGCTCAATCGACGCAGCCGTTCTCGAGAACTGGAAGTGTCGTCCCACACGTGCGCTCGTAGAAAGTTGACCCCGACTGACTTATCTGCGACACCCATACTAATCTGTCTGTAACGGTGTTCCAAATTTGAGCGCAATCGGCAGAGCCATTCTCGAGATCTGGTCGAAAGCGACCCCTGCACGTGTGCACCTGCAGTAGGTAGCACCCTAACCGTGATGCATGGAAATGCCAATATTCTTCAGAAATGCATTGTCTGACGGATGTCTACCGACATTAGACATTGCAGCCCGGTTAGCTAATGGGGCAAACTTCAGAATGTTAAGCGAGTCTCTTAAACATCCAGAAATGCATTTGTACAATGTACATTTCAAATCAATTGCTAACCAGAAAAGTTGCAAGTCTTGACTACCTGAGTTTTTGCCAGTTTTTGCCAGTTTTTGCCACCAGGGTTTCTGCCAGCCGGTTTAAACCGGTTAAAACCACTGGCAAAAACCAGTTTTTGCCACCCCTTGCCAACCCTGTTTCAGATAAATAACATGCTGAGTACCTACTTCCTGATCCGCTCATCCTGAACCTGATGTCCTCGGAGGTCATAGGTGAGTCTTGGTCCCCTACTGGCTTATCCATCAGGCATTCCATCCTCTCAAGGCCCATTGTGTTTTCCCTCTCATACATAAACAGGTAATCGAGTTACCAGCACTGGTCGGTGTTATGTTATTACCACGATGAAGCAGTTGCACAGAAATCAGCTAGCCTGCCATTACATCAGAGCAGTGCAATTGCGTGCTTTGAACGTTGCATTCAAACCTGCGCTGTCGCCAAAACGATGACATTCGTATCAAAACGCCACTTACCTACTATATGTCACCTCCCGTCAAAACTGCAGGGCATCTGGCAGGTGACCCGCTGCCAGTTGGCACGTGAATGTCATTCCTGCTCTGTCGTGTGACTGTCCGTTTGGCAGAGCTCCACACGCCACTGAGGTGTGGTCTGGGTGTCGCGGCGACCGATGGTCCAAATTGCTTGTCGCCGGGTGACCTGGTTTTATGTGCAGCTAGACTGTAGAGTGGAGATATCGGTTCCGAGGGCTAAAATTGAGCTCTGAAGCTGGGAAATAATCGCGTCTCAGGGGCTTGGAAGTCAGTTCCGATATTGCTCAAATCGGTTATGATGACAAATCGGTTTTATGGGTTAGAAATGCATTGCGAGTGTAAGAAGTCGTCGGTTCTAAGGATACCAAGGAAATCATTGATTACGAGAGCGACAAATGAGTTCCGATGGTGTGTATTGTTACAAAGTCTCGCTCTTACATAAGCTTGGTTCTGGTCGGTCCGGGACAGCTCGCACTTGAGTTTGGATGGTTTGGTCATGAGTGGTCGTCTTTGAGGCTCCCGGGGAGTTTTTTTTTTTGTCTCAACTCAAGAAGTCTCGTTACGGAGCTTAAAAAGTCACATCGAAGTCCATAAACGGACTCTAGCATTATCAGTTTTAAGCTCAAATGCAGTCAGTCAAGATTTGAATCAATTCGTGAATCAAACAGGCTCACCTCGAAACTCGCAGATTCAGCTGTGGGCTCAAAGTGGCTCAATGCGAGACTCGGGCTTCTCAGTTCATGAATCAAACGCACTCTGTTTATGATTCTGGGCGACTGTGGCCTGTTGTGGGTCGTTGGCTGGCCGGAGGTGGCTAGTTTAGAGGCCGGACGGCGGAGCGGACCGGCCAGTTCGCGCGGAGCGACGGTTCAGGGCGGTCGAGTCGGTGCGGACGAGCTGTGCGGAGTGCGGACTGACAGTGCGGGAGAGCTGTGCGGACAGACATTGCGGACTTCTTGTTCGACAAATAGTCGGAACCGTTTTATAAAGCGGAATAGCACCACTGAAGTGCCATTTTTTACTCACTGAGCTTACTGAAAGGATAGCGGTGTGAGAAGCGGCGGCGGTGTCCATATTGATCGCTTTTGAAGACACGAGTTAGTTGAAGAAGAAACCACGATGTTTCACATGGATCCAACCACTACCGGTATGCGAGAGGGCGAGATTTGGCGTCTCGGAGTTGGCGGTCGGCTGTGGCGGGTTTGAATATTAGTTGAGATAAGGTTCCTGCCCAGATGAAGTAAAATCTGATATTTAATCGAGTAGATATTTATGTAGCTTGGGCTTAGCTAACAGTATTTCCATGGGTGTCGTTTTATATAGGCACCTGTGGAAAGCGAGTATTCCCCGTTGCCATTTTTGCACTTGCACTATGTGAAACCAGTTTCTTCGTCTCGACATTTCAAATCAACATCTGCATCGGCCCTAACTATCCCCAATTATCCATATCAATGACCCATCCTTACACTCTGGCTCTAAAGCCCCCGGTATCTTTGTCTCAACCCTGCCTCTAAACTCTCGCTCTAATCGCCCTGTTGTCTTTCTGTTTCAGACCTGCCTCTCCACTCTCCACTCATGAATACCGGCGTGTGTAACGGGGACATTATGATCCTCGCGGGAAACTCGCACCCCGCGCTGGCCCAGCTGATCGCAGAGTAAGTGACGAATTCAACCGGTTCGGTCGCGTTAGATGATCAGACGGTTGGGTAACGTTGTTTGCGGCATTTGCAAGAGCGAAGCGAAAGGAGCGCTATCAGTTTTTGAATGTTTCATATAGGAACTTTTCACGTATGAATTTTTTGGATGTCAAAGGCAATATCAGGTAATGTTTTTTTCGTGTCTTTGGATTTGCTAAATGCTAAATATAAATGTATGCTTCATTGCTAAATGTATCAGTGATGCATGATTAATGATAACGTTTCAAGCTAACGTTTGAGAAATTGTTGCTATGTCATATTTTCGACCCTGCTGTTGACCGATTGTCATGTTGTGTCGCCCGCCACCGCCTGAGCCCGTCCCTTTCCTATTCTTCTGATCACGCTGGGATCTATGTGACCTTTGAAGTTTGAGACTCGCTGGAGCCTCTAATGTAGTGTGTCTACATACGTGTATACGCCTACTCATGGCATATTCTGTTAGTGACGTGTTGTGTGCCACCTAAAGCTCAGTTCTGTGTATCGTGAGCAATATTGTCATAAGTGACATGCGTGTTATTTGTTTGATTGTGGTCATATAGTGTCATCCACGGCATAGTGCTCAGTTGTCACTATATTTGCGGTATGCTCTGATCGCCTTTTATGTAGGTATTTTTAGCGTGCAGTATTCATCGTGCTAATTCAGAATGTCCCATCCACGTCCCTCACGGGAGGTTTCGTGTGTTTAATCAATGGCCCTCAAATTACGTGTTTTATCCGTTCCTCACTAAATGTAGGGTGTTCCATTCTTTTGCCGTCGATAACTGTAAGAGCCTAGGGGTCCCAAAGTCTCACTCTTTTCTTTTTCATTAAGGCTGGGTGATGAGGCCCATAAGTAAATCTATCTTCATCCTATATGGCGTCTTACCTACTGTGTCAGTGTTACTTGTCTGTACCGTGTCGCCCCCTATTGTGCGCGCTGTCTTGCATGATGTTCTATTGCGTGTGCTGTAATTGCCTTTCAACAGGGAATGTGTCTGCTGATATTGTCAATGAACGCGACGTTTTGCGTTGTATTACACATATGTCGTGTTGTATGTTGTTTGTGGCTTGTGCAACGACGATGTCTGTTGTACGTTGTGAATACAATAGTTGTGAGCACCGTTGAACGCTGCGAGTCTGGTCACTGTAAGACTGTAAGACTGTAAGATTCTAAGGCCAATATCGGTCATGTATGATTTCGAGCTTTTACGGCTAGACATCTTAATTCAAGGTACGTTTTTTTCGGCTACTAGTCGCTTATTCTTGACGACCTCGATGTGAAGGTCGAAAATTCGAATAGAAAACAATAAGCGACTGGTAGCCGAAAAAGCATACTTTGAGTTAAATGCCGGCCGCCGAGCAGTCGGTGCTTGGTGCGGTTGGACGCTGTGATTTTGGACGTTGTGAGTTTGTATGGATGTGAGCTTGTACGCTGTGACTGGCCGTAACCGGGTGTCGGTCGCCGAGCAGTCGTCTGGGGATGCAGTTGGTTGTTGTGAGTTTGTACGTTGTGAGTTTGCACGCTGTGAGTTTGTCCGCTGTAACCCGCCGTAACCGGGTGTCGGTCGCCGAGCAGTCGGCTGGGGGTGCGGCTGGGCGCGTGCCTCGTGTACCAGAAGACAGACAGGGAGACCATGGTGGAGATACAGGAGTCGGTCCGTTCGCGCACCGTGTACATTCTACAGACTGGCAGCAAGTGAGTGTCGCCCGCCCGCCCGCCGCCCCCGCCCCCGCCCCCGTCACCGTTAGTAGCTCAAACACAGCCACCGCCAGCGAAACTATGGCGGGAACCCGCACCCACCGCTATCAAAACTATGACGGAAAATCCCACCATTGCCCATTAGAAATTATCAGCATAGCCAAAATCCACACTGACACCCACCGCCCTCGTAACGAAAGCGGAAAAAACGCCCTACGCCAACAGGACTCTAGCGTGAATGTGTATAAGTAGAGCCCAGGCCCACAACCGCTGTCCCTTTTTCTTTGAAACTATCGCGAGAACGTGAGTAGGTAGATACACGGACAACGTTTTATCACCTTACAAAGAACTTCATGTCCTTACGATTGAGTCGATGCATGCACGACCATCAACCACGTTAGTCAGAGAAAACGCACAGATAAGTTTACTTCAGCACCGGCCTGTATGGAGAAGTAGTTTGGAGGCATGGTTGTGGGTGTTTAATGACAGACCGCAATATATAGGTGGAAACTGTGGAACGAAGATGTGGTGACCGAAAAGAAAGCAATATGTGACCGACTGCATTATAAGTGAAGTGCGAGAATGTGCTCATATGGTTTACTCGCGGCAGTTGGGTTTCGTTGTCATTAATTTCGTTCTTGTTTACCCCCAGGAGAGAAAACGCCACTCTGTTATGAAGTTGAGGGATGGGAGAAAGCCTTCCATTTTAAAGATATAATAAATGCTTGAGCTATCGCAGGGAAAAGGAAGCCATGATGCGTTACTGGAGGACATATTGAGCTCATAGTTGTGACATTACGATGTTATAGCGAGACGAACAATGCTTTTTACATTTTTATTACGAGCGAAATACCCGCGATGAGACTCGCAGAACTAGCGCAATGGGACGTCAAAATCAAATACCAAATTATTAACCAACATAACCGCGGTAACAGTCTGAGGGCTATATAATCAACAGCTGATAACCGATAACGCAACATAACATACTACATCTGATTGCGCCGTGTTCCCAACTCCTAGCATCACTCCATCCCGGCCCAAGATTACTAAACTCAGATCCCGCCAGCGAGCGAGTGTGCGTGCTCTGAGTGTCCCCGGCTCACCTATCCACGGGGCGGGGGCGGAGGAGCGGCGGGCGGGCCCGCCGGGCTGTTGTGGCGTGCTCTGACACAGTAGAGAGATGTTGCATGCAGGTGTCTGCTTCTCTTCCCTGTCTGCTAGTGCTGACTGTGTGTGTGTGCCTCGTGGCCTGTGTGCGTGTGTCTGGTCTGTGTGTCTGTCTCACTAATACAGCGCGGTGGTCCACCCCTTCTTCCTGCTCTAATTATCTTTCCCTTCGTCTTTTATTTCGTAATATTTTGTTTTTTCTTTGATCTTTTTTTCTCACCTCTTTGTTCGTCTTTTCTTTGCACTTCACCTTCCTTTCATCCCTACACCCTTCCCGTTCCTTTTCATGCTTCGCCACATCGTTCTTTTCCCTCTCCTGGCGCTGCTGCCTCCTCCGTGCCATTTTGGTCCCTCCCTCGACGACCGAGGCGGCGCTTTCGTTTGATCTGCGCCACTCACACAGTCGCCGTCGCCCTTTCCGGCATGTTTCTCCTATAGGAGGCTGGATCGTAAGCTGGTGGAAATCCAGATCGGAAAGTTTGCCAACAAGGAGACTCAGCTGGAGATAATGCACTCGCTTCGCGACCGAGATGTCTATATCTTGCAGACAGGAGGGATCATGTAAGATATTGACGGAGGGATCATGCAAGGATCATGTAAGATATTAACGGAGAGATCTAAAGACATAACCGGTGCGAATACTGTAGGATATGCCCGGCGGGGTCCCATAAGGGTAAACGGGAGCTTGTGCTCGTTCTCAGGAAGTAAAATGAAAGTTGCAACAGCTTCATATTTCAAATTTTTGCCGAGCTTGGGGTGATAACGTCGGGAAATTCGTCCGTTTTTTTTCGGGGCGGGGGGAGTGCTGGGAGTCACTGTCCTTCCTTCACGTCATAGTTTACCATACTGATCGATTCTTCCATCATTGTGGCTGCTATGCTATTCGGTGTTTAAATGTGGCTATCGTCGCTTTGTTTCCGCACGTTCGGTCAACTTACTGTTCCCATTTGTTTGGTTCTGCTCGTTACGACATTGCTATGTGATTTGCTCTTATGGACTTTGAGCATTGATGCCCGAGCTAGAGCTTACTTAGTTCACCATTCGCGGTATGTTTTTTTCAGACGCAGTGTGCTTGGTTAAATCTGTGCTGCAATTTAGGATAAATGCGTTATATTGCTCATTTCTCGCTAAAGGGACAGTTAAGCGTTTTCGCTTCACTACAGTGCTTAGTATTTGCCGCTTTAATATGCATCAAGCGTTGACCTACGACTAAGTGTTGCATAGTTAGCTGGGCAGCAGCTTTGAGTGCACTAACGGGACTTTATGGATGGACTAATACTAAATCAATGATTTTGGCCTTTCGAAGAGCATGGCGAGTTTCATTGACTAAGTCAACCGGCAACTTTCTCTGAAGCTATAAACTATCACGAGGGATTAGGTAGCTCATAACTGGCAATGAATGATGTCAGTAGCTGCGGCATTTCATGATTCCGAACAAAGCCTTTTCAAATTATGCTAAGTTCATTAACTTGTGCTGTTGTTTAGACGGCGTGCGCTTCAGCTGTCTCTTCTGGTAAAGATGTCCAATTCTGAATTCACGTGATGAGAAATCGTAACCCTCTTACCATATTGCACAATAGCTTTTTCACTCTAGTCAACTGCATCAATAAGCTTGATAGATCAGTTGGCATGCCGATCCAGATAGGAACTTTGATTTGTTTTGTAGTTCACGATTTGACCGCCTCCTAATTCTGTGGTTGATACTGTCTTAGATTTCGTGGTCGAACTGCATGAAGCGGGCCGTGATCATGATGCGCACTGCGCAGTCTCCATTGACCGGATGGAGCTCATGAGTGGCAATTTGGGCATTGTTCGGCTGCAAGTGGCGCCCGTGTTCAGGGTGACCCCTACCGCCCAAGGGCGGATCAAGGGACTAAGGGAGTGACAACGGGTCTCATCGTTCAAATTACGGTTATAGCAAGTTAAAGCTAAATGAGCGATTGCTAGCCTCGGCATATGGGTTCTCGATGTGTGTACACTGGGTTCCTCATTTAGGTAGGATTGCGTCTGCGATCCGATCCGTTCTCTATCGATCGATCGTTTAATTAGCTTTCAGATAAGATACCAAATTTAATTAGTCCATCATTTCCTTAGATTACTGATTAATTGTGACAAAATGTTGAATGAATCGCGCGCAGTGGGGCAGGGTTACCGGACGGCTTTGGCGGGGCTCTTTGAAATGATTTTGCATTAGCGCGTAAAATTGGCATGGCATCGAGGGTATCACAAATCGTGTGCTAATTGTCACAGTTTTGAGCCCTACGTCTATTGTCTTATCACTTTTCGTCGAATAAATCGTAAAATTATTTTTCAGTAGCATGATGAGAAGTACCAGTTATTATCAGTCGTCAGCCATCATCAGTCATCACCAGAACATTCTAGCATCTTACTTCTAGCAAAACCCTCTCTCACCGTGTACCCCCCCCCCCTTCCCACTTCGCGCTGTTCTTGACAACAGGGACGTCAACAACTCCATCATGGAGCTGCTGGTGATGGCTTACGCCTGCAAGACGTCCTCAGCTCGCAACATCATCGGCGTGATCCCCTACCTGCCGTACAGCAAGCAGTCCAAGATGCGGAAACGGGGCTGCATTGTCTCCAAACTGCTCGCCAAGATGATGTGTGAGTGAAAGAGAAGGACAGTTGGATAGAGGGAGGGACAGTTGGATAGAGGGAGTAGGAGAGAGAAGGAGAGAGGGAAAGAGAGAGTTGGTGCTGCTCTGACGTCTGCCAGTTGTTGAAGTAGCAAACTGAGTGCTACTTTGCTACGTCGTTGTTCACTGTCGCAGTGGCGTATCCAGGGGGGAGGCCAAGAGGCCATGGCCTCCCCCTTTGGGATCAGACATGCAAGTGTCACTTGAGCGCAGTGACGTACCCAAAGCCCAAGGGGGGCCACGGGAGCCCCTGAGGTCTAAGGATAACTCAGGGGGACCAGCGTGACGAAGGCGTTCTGGGTCTCCCTGCCTTAATTCCAGTACTAGACAGCACGTCTTTTACTCGGAAGAAAAAACGAATATCAAAGAGCGATTTCTATCACAGTGACGAACACAGAGGGCCCCTAACTACCTGAGAGCCCCTGGCTACCTGAGGGGGCCCCCTGGTTACCTGAGGGTCCCCCTGGTCACCTGAGGAGCCCCTGGTTATATGACGAGCCCCTAGTTACCTGAGGGGCCCCTGGTTATCTGAGGGGCCCCTGATTGTCTGAGAGATTCCTGGTTGTCTAAGGGACCGTCTGGCTACCCGAGGGGCCCCTGGTCACCTGAGGGGCCCTGGTCACGGGACCCCTGTTTACCTGAGGGGCCCCTGGTTACCTGAGGGACCCCTGATTATCTGAAGGACTCCTGGTAAAGGACCCCTGGTTACCTGAGGGGCTCCTGGTTACCCGAGGGGCCTCTGGTTACCTGAGGGGCCCCTAGTTACCCAAGTGGCCCCTGATCCCCTGGATGGCCCCTGGCCAGTCATCTGAAGAAGCCCTGGGCACCTGAGGGGCTCATGTTTACCCGGGGAGTACCTGGCTATCTGAAGGGCCTCCGCAGTCACATGAAGGCCCTTAGTTGCCCGAGGAGCCCGTGGTATAACCGGCCCCTTATTATCAGAGAGTCCCCTGGTCACGGTAACATGACCGGGCCCCTGATCAATTGAAAGGCCCCTGCAGTCACCTGAGAGGCCCCTGATTACCTAAAGGGCCCCTGATCACATGGATTTAATGGCATAGCCAGGGGCGAGGGGACACGTGTCCGTTATATGGTTTAGGGTCCCCTCGGGCCCGAGGGGCCCACCGGCGCCTCCAAGGGCCCTATACCAGCGCGTCTAACGGCCACTTACCAGCGACTGAGGGCCTCTTACCGGCATCTGAGGTTCTCTTGCCGGCCTATGAAGGGCCACAAGTAACTTTTAGGGCCCCATACATGCCAATGACGGCCCCTACCAGCGTCTCTAAGCCCTAAGGCCCCCACAACGGTGCCTGTGTGGACCCCACACCAGCGCATCTGACGGCCTTTCACAGACACGTCTGAGGGACCAACACCGGCGACTCTGAGGGGCTCGCTCGCTTCGCTTCTTCATAAAAGACTGTGCATTTTATGCACATTTCTCAGACAAAATAATACTTTTATCTCATCTGCCAATTTTCCACCTTTTCTCAGGGCTTAGACAGACAGGCAGACAGTGAGACAGACAGACAGAGGGGCCCGTCCGCAAGGGGGACCGGACCCACTGTGCCCAATCTCCCACATCGAAATGTTATGGATACGTCCCCGCCTGGGTTGACAGTGGCCCCCAGGTAACCCGGGGCCCCTTCGAGAGCAGGTTGCCCCTCCTGGGCGAAATCCTGGGTACGTGCACGGTGCATGCTTGGGTGTCCCAAGATAAACGACCGTCAAAGCCTTATCCGAAGTACTGGCCCAAACTGAAGACAATGTGGAGCCCTCTGAGGCCATTGTGAGGCCCTCTGTGACCAGCGTGAACCCTCTGAAGCCAGCGTGGGGCCAGCTGTCATCTGACTTCAGACGCTGGTGCTGGGCCCTCAGAAGCCAGCACGGGGCCTTCATAGGCTGGCGTCGGGCCATTAGAGGTCACTTCGAGGGCCTCGGCAGCCATACTTCAGATCGTATGCATGTTTGAGCCCCCTGAGGTAAGAGTGGCCCTTAGAAGCCGGCGCGGAACCCTTAGAGGGCAGCATGGGCTTCTAGAGACCGGCGGTATAGGGCCATCAGACTGACTCAAAGGCTCCCAAGAGCCAGCGTGGGGCCCTGGGAGGTCAGCAATAGCATGGGTCTCCTGAGGCCATTATGGGGCCGGCTGAGGCCAGATTCGTTCACTCTGTTGCCGAAGAGGGGCTTTCCGAGGTCAGAATGAGCCTTCAGAGTTTTTAGATTGCCAAGTGTGCCTAAAAACTAAAAAGGCTCCCTCACATGGCGAAAGTGGCAAAGAACCGCACCTGTGCGTGGATTAAGTATGCTACCACTGGGGCCCCTAAGGTAAGGGTGGGGCCCCTTGAGCAGGTTTGGCCTCCCCCTTTTCAAGATCCTGGATACGCCACTGCACTGTCGTGCTTTGGTACTCTCGTAATGTGATTATAACTGGTAATAGCTAATCACGTATGGCTACTTACGAGAACATTTATCGAAGCTGGGCAGGGCTACTTACATATGTATGGCTGTACTTGCAAGGGGCTCTTAAATGCCCTAATAGGGCCTATGCATAGTTTAAGAAGCTTAATTATTGCTTGACGACTGATTTGCTTGCTGTAGGCAAAGCGGGTCTGACGCACATCATCACGATGGACCTCCATCAGAAGGAGATCCAGGGATTTTTCGACTGCCCCGTGGACAATCTGAGGGCGTCGCCGTTCCTGCTCAACTATATCGTCGAACAGGTACGAACCGGGAAGAGGGCGTAAGAAGGGAGAGGAAAGAAGGAGAAGGGAGAAATGCTAGAGTGAAAAGGAGAGAAAACACTGAGATCAGGGAATAGAAGGAAATGTCGTGGGATGTGGGAAGAGAACAATTGATAAGAGCAACAAATTAACTGAGAGTGGTCAATCACCTGTGTACAGTCACTCCATACCAGTAAAACGCCTTTTGGGCGAAGAACGAGCGAGCGAGTTAGTGAGCCCTGCACGTGCGCAAGGGCGAGAGGGTACTTCCAACTGGCTTGTGCAAAGCACCCTTCTAACCGGTCGCTAGCGGTGTGCCAAATTTGAACACAATCGGCCCAGCCGTTCCTGAGATCTGGAAGCGGCATTCTGCACGTGCAAGCGGGGTCCAAACTGACTTTTGCACGGCACCCTACTAACTGGTCCCCAACCGTGTACCAAATTTGAACGCAATCGGCCCAGCCGTTCTCGAGATCTGGGAGCGCCCCCTGCACGTGCGCACGTGCAGTAGCACCCCAACCTTAACACATGCAGATGAATTATCTGATGGAGACCTAACTGTGTACCGAGTTTCAATTCAATCGGCCCAACCGTTGTGCCGTTATTGAGGTTGCAATTTTGGGGGTTCTTAAAAAATGTCCAACTTTACCACGCGCCACGTGCGGTGGTTGGCATGAACGCATGGTGGCCATCTCACCACAGAACTTTTACGTCCAAATGACATTCAGTAAAGAAGACCGCTTGTCAATCGGATGTCCCGTTCCTAAGATATTAGATTTTGAAGAGCGTCCCCACGGCCGGCCGCTCATACTCAGGATTTTCCCTTAATTCAATATGAACTCGCTCGCTCGCTGCGCTCGCTCGCTCGTAATTAACATTCCTGACCGGAATCTTGCCCACCTTACAATGACCTGACCTGACACCGGCAGATCCCCGACTACCGCAACTCCGTGATTGTGGCCAAGGACCCGGCCTCCTGTAAGAGGGCCACCTCGTACGCCGAACGACTTCGCGTCGGTAAGTTTCAACACGCCTCGTGTGAGGCGAGAGAAGCTAGGGGGCAGGAGTTGTTGCAACGCGAAACTAGCGCATTACTTCTGTTGGGCGTTGACTTGCATTTATTGCTCACTATGCAATAAATGCGAAACGTCGAGCAGTGCTTGATTTCCGCTCATAACCATTAATCAAAGTTCTAAACACATGAATATTTAGTCTGAAGGCCTCCCAAATCACTTAACATTTTTTATCAATCTCATATACTTTATTAGATTTATAAGTGTATGCTTGTCTCACAGGCTCTTCTGTTCAGGCTCACCCACTTTACCCTCCTCTCTCCTCCCCCCTCTACCTCTAGGAATTGCCGTCATCCACGGCGAGGCCAAGACGCGTTTCGATGACGACTACGAGGACGCGGACGAAGACGGCGATGACGGCCGTACGTCACCGCCGCCGCTGCCGGCCAGGCAGCAGGGCCGCCTGCACTCGTCCGTCTCCATGTCGGTAGGTGGAGAGAGCTGGAGAGAGTGGAGAGAGGGAGAGAGAGTGGTGGAGGGGATGTGCCATGTATCGATGAGATAAAATTATGTATGGCAGCTGTGGCATTGAGTGGGTGCGTATGTGTCTGTTTGATGTTCTGTGGCTGAATGTTCGATGTCTGTGAAATTTGGGAGGGAAGTCGGCACAGAGGCAACCTTTCGGTGCCGAGGACGTTATTGTTTAAACGAATGCATTTTTGCATTGAATGTTATGTGAATTTCGACGGCCACTTCTTGTGGCCCATCATCTTCTCGAGTCGCTTCTGTACCGTTGGGTTTGCGGCTGTTCCTGCGCAGTATACTCGTAAGCAGCTTATCCCCGTGAATCTGCCATGTCTTCGTGATAGACTGAGTCCCGTCCTGTTAATAACTCCCTCTTTTCAGTTGTTACCCTCACCGTGCGCGCGCTATTCTGGTCTCTATTGCTTTGCTCTGGTGTTGTGTTTCCGTTCCATTTTACTATGTTTATGCGCTCTGGGATGTCCTGTCACATGGGAGTGGGTGTCCTGTCCTAACCTAATCTGGGCTCTGAAAGGGAGATGGTACTCCGCATCGTTCCTACCCAGGCCTGAAGGCAGTTGGGTGGCGGACAGAACGCTGTCTTCAAGCTGTTTAGTGATTTAACCTTGTCTGGCCGAAACTTGCCGAGGCTTTTCTTCCCTACCTGTGTGCGCTCAAGACATATTCCTCCGTGCTCTTAGGGGCGGACAAGATGGATAGGGTATTACAATTAATGACCTGACATAGCATAATACGGCCAACGTCCATTGTTCTATTATTCTCTTCCCTGTTCCACGCAGTCTTATCCCACAAAACCCTTTCCTCTACTGAGAGATCCTGTCGTATCCACATCCCTCCTTCCCACTGCGCCATGTCCATGCCTATTGCCTAACTATTTCCTGATCCACGGTCCACCTTACACTGTCTTACCATCTGCCCTCCCCATTTCCCACCTTACCGTCGCCGTGCCCTAGTCGGCCTTAGCCTAGCCGTGCGAACGGACTCTCTGGTCGCCGATACCCCCATATCACCGCGCTGACCGTCGCCGGCGCCCGCCGCTGCACCCCAGTCGTTTATGGAGCGCTCCGAGCCTGGCGCCGAGCCCGGCCCCGTCACGGCCGCTGCCGCCGCCGCCGCCGCCCTGCGCCGCGGCCGCCCCCGCCTCCGTTCAGCGGCCTCCGTCTGCTTCGTGAGTAGCCGCCCCCGCCCCCGCCCCCGCCACAGAGGGGACCGCCCACCGCCGCTCACTGGTTCCGCGGTGGCATTGGCGGCGGCGGATGTTGATGTTATTATATTAATTTATGTGATATTACGTCAGTTTAGGACTAGATAATTAAGAAAACATGATGCAGACAGCTGAGTCCTTATGACTCAGCTGTCTGTACTCAGCTGACCTTACTCAGCTGTACGATGTGGCATTACGATGTGTTCATGACCATAGGCGTATCTACATCTATCTACATCTATCTATCTGTAGTTATGTGTAGGAGGTTCCAAGGGGTCTGCGAACTAACGAATGCTAACACATGCGTGGGAAGTAGTGGAAACCTGGCAATTGGGCAAAAAGGTCTTCTCGACGTTTCCAAGGCGTTTTGCTCTTTTAGGTTGCCAGGAAGCGGTTAACCTCTAGAATCTTTAAAAAAAACTTCGGGCGGTCTAGTTATTTCATAAAAGGGCAATAACCCTCTCGGATGCTTGGCCCTTGCTTTCATCGTTTGGACAAAGGCGTTATTTGGTCGCCAGCACGCGAGTTTTGTGAGCTGCTTGGGGTTGTGATTTCCATCGAGTTGCTTTCCGGGTTGCCGAGTTGCTGAGTTTCTGCATTGCTGAGTTGCTCTTTCGCATGAGCTGGGCGGGAGCGGCAGCACGATTCGGTGTGATCTTCGGGAGGGAGGGGGGGGGGGGTCCGCGGATGGCTTAGTGCTCCAACCACGCTATTAACCGTTCGGTAGGCGTTTGTTCGAGGTAGTTTCTAGCATATGACTAACACATAAAATGTTTCACGACTAGGACGAAGGCTAGGCTACGAGATCGATTGTGTTACTTCCAAGCGGCTTTGCGTTGTTAAGGACAAATGTTCGGTTTAGAGAATATATTAACGCTTTCGGCCTAATTAGGACCATCCCAATTTTCTGTCCTAAATTAAATATTGTCTTCTCTTAAATAGAAACTGTTGGTAGCTCAGCTTTTCAGCTGTCGTACTCCCTTATGTATTATTTCCGACGTGGAACTGTGGCGTACATTTTAAAAATAAAGTTGATAGAGTCGTGCTCTTATATATCTGTACAATAGGCGCAGTTTGACGTACTAATCTGGAGCAGTCGGGAAACATATCGTACCCTGATCCTCAGACTGCTCCTTGTTCTATCAGTCATGCTTCCGTGTCCTTTCATCGGCTTCCATCCATTTCTAACTAACCTTACGCGACCCTCAAACTGGCCACCCTGAACCACTGAGCCGTAGCTTCGTACGTGGAAGCGGATTTATTTGAAGTTCTAACATGCTTTTGGTTTCTTTGGTTGCTTACTTTAATTTAGTCCATCGTTTGGCTCGTTTTGGCCTTTTTTCTTCGGCTTTAGTTTGATGTTGGGCGTGGGCTTTGGGCATTTATTGTGTGGCATGGCCGTTGGACAATTTGTATTTCATCTACACAAAGATAATGTGTGTTATGATGAGCCATAATGGATTGTGTGTGAGGGTGCGTTTGTCTTTTTATATTGTGCTCATGTGATTGCAGATTGCATAAAAAGTGACATGTTGCCTATGGTGACGGGTTTGTTTCCAAGTTCGACGTGTGACTTTTTCAAAGTCGGTGATCATCATCATGTGTAGTGATAAATTGATAACTGTCTGATGTAATATCGTTCACAGGGTTCAGGGTTCAGCCGCAATGTGACTTCTCCTCAGGTCATGGAGCTTACCTTGGTCCTGCATGCATGTAACTCATGTATCTCGTGTGTCTTCGCTAAACCAAGCCCTCCTGCTTCCTCACATAACTATAGCCTCCTCTCGTTCCAATATCGACTCGTCCGCACACGTGTGACCTCCCCCGGGCCGGCAGGGCGAGGTGGACCCGTCCCGCATCATGTCGGTTGGAGTCACCGGCGTACCGATGCAGGCTGCCAAGGAGAAGCCGCCCATCTCTGTGGTCGGCGACGTCGGTGGCAGGATCGCCATCATGGTGGTGAGTGCGATGTCATCTGTGGGATCAATGACGTCATGCGGGTTGACTGTTGAACTCTTGAATGAGCCTTGTCACGTGTCTTCAGAATGGGATCGTGCAAGGGCAGATGTGATCGAGTCAGGTCAAGTGTGAGGGAATTCGAGAGCGTGGGATTAAAAGTAAAATTATCATGAGGGCTGATGCTACTAGAGTATTATGGCGTATTCGAGATAAGTTAAGAACGTTTTGTGATTTTTCTATGAGGTGGTTAAAGACTAAGACAACTCCTCCTGCGGTAATTTCAATTTTCACTGAGGGGAACTTAGTTGCCCTCGTTTGTTGTTGTTTTTTTTTTTTTACTGAGTTCGCTCTAACCGCTGTTTCCTCCTTTGCAGGATGACATGATCGACGATGTGCGCTCGTTTGTGGCCGCCGCTGAGATGCTGAAGGAGCGTGGCGCCTACAAGATCTACGTGATGGCCACGCACGGACTGCTGTCGGCCGACGCGCCGCGCCTCATCGAGGAGTCGGCCATTGATGAGGTGAGACCGTGGCGCCACCCTTAAATAGCAAAGGTCAGAGGCACATGGCTCTACAGGCGTGTCCTGTAATGTCTTCTCGTTACATCTATGCTTTGCTGTTTGTGTTCCTGCAGTGCCACCAGACCTAATTTCGACGATTTGTACATATTGATCAGCCGGACGTTGTCATCTTTGTTGATTATTTCATTGAGCTTATCGTTGATGTTAAAATGACAATCAGGAGCCTTCGATGTTATCAATATTTACACGCTAACCAACTCTTAAAAGCTCACATTCGCTGGTGCTGCCTTGATTACCAGACCCTACCGTCATCTGACTTCTCTCCACCTTCTCCCCCTTTGCAGGTGGTGGTGACCAACACGGTGCCGCACGACGTACAGAAGATTCACTGCCACAAAATCAAAACGGTCGACGTCAGCATCCTGCTCTCGGAGGCCATCAGGCGTCTGCACAACAAGGAGAGTCTCAGCTATCTGTTCAGGAACATCACCATGGAGGATTAGATGCGCTAGAGAGCGAGGGCTAGTGAAAGAGGGGATTGGAGTGCGAGGTATAGGGGGAGGAAGAAGAGAAATGTGAGGACTTGTCTGCTACCGGAAATCGACGAACGCAGGGAAATAAGAGAGAGGAAGGTAGCGAGACAGTAAAAAAGGAGGAGAGTGGAGGGCAGTGTAGAAAGATGAGAATCGTTTATGAGAGAGTGGTAGAGAGAACAGGGCGAGGTCGCCAGAGGGTATTCGCTACTCGTTTGAAGTGGATATGGCTGTCACTAGATGACGCCATCTGTGTAACTGGAGAAAATGAAAAGGCTGTTGTATTTGTGCGCGGCTTGCCGTATGTCGGGGTAGGACTAGGGGATGTTGCCAGATTTGACAGGTGTCACTCACAGTTGGAAGTGCCGGATTCTGGACTTCACGCTAAGTATACGATCTTAAGTATCGAGTTCTAAATTCCTCAGAGTATTGAGCATTTCAGATAGATCGAAAACCAACCGTCAAGTGCCAGTAAAAAAAAGTGGATCGAGTTGCATGCGAACATTCATGTTTGGGAAATATCGGCCGTAATTGACTCGTTATGATATGATCGAGAGGTAGTTGGACCCCATAAAACGAGCCCGTTGGAACATTGGAACTCGGCCAGGTGTTAGGGGGGTGTAGGTGGAATCCCGTGAGGATCCAATGGGATAGACTGGACTCCGTGAGAGTCCTGTAGGGTTAGTGGGACTTCGCTAGGATCCAGTGGGATCTGTAGGACTCCTGGATCGATGGGATCATTTGTAAGAGCACTTGGTCCTCTGATTGGGAAGAACAGTTGACATGTAGCGATGTCCTGTGCAATAGGCGAGCTAGGCAACGATCACCATCGGTTCTGACTGCGAGTGGTGCCATATAATTGTGGCGACAAATTGTGTCAGTAAATTTCAATGCAAGGCTGTTTTGCGGGAGGGTGATGGTTGAAAATGAGGTAGTGCCATTATTGACAATATTCCTGATATTTGTATGTCGGGCATCAGTGAAACTGTGGTCATTTGTGACGATGTCGTACGCGTACGTTGTCTGGGTAAATGCGTTAGGTTAGATGCACGCGTATTATGTTACATGTACTCTCTCACCATTTGCCTGACTTTTGTTACATTTGATTATCTGTCTACGGGGTATTGTGTCTGTATCGGTAGCTTAGTGACAACTTGTACTCGTTATGTGTTCTTTATAACCGTACTAGCGGGCAGACATACGCTTGGAAGTCTTAGAACTGCTTAGCTTCTGTGCACTGGCGATTCGATGCCGAGCAAAAATGTCGCATGTTATTCTCCTCGTGTCTTGTTTCCGCTATGGTACATCTAACTAATAAATGTATAATTTCTATTTTGCGTGTCGAACTGTCGAAGGGAGCGATCCTAGGTGGTCTCAGGGTGATAAATAGCGATCCTTTGCAGTCGAGATTATTGGATAGCGCTACCGATCCAATTTCACTGATGGTATGGCTCAGTCATTGATAACGCCTGTTGTGCACTCAGTCACTTTCTTCAGGATCAGCTACAGCAAATGTTGAAGTGAAGATAAAACTAGCACTGCTTTGCTAACTTCCTTCGTTATTTCCATTCCATTTCCATTCTGTTAAAATCGCAATTTACAGTGGTGGAGCGCCCCTGTTCCAGTTGTTACCATAGCAACCAGTCTAGCTGGTTCGTTGAGGTCGGCAGGTCGCTGGTAGCCCATGTCGATTTGGTCGGTACTAAATTTGCCCGCGATTTATCGATTTATTAGTCAATGCAGCTGGAGCGTGTTGTTAGTTGAACATAGGTTGTGATACATACAGGTGTAAATTAGAGATAGGCATCAATGTGACGATTCACCGTAAGATACAAGACATCAACGCTGGTTGGATGAGGTTGAGCAACGGCTAATCGTCTTCAGAGGACCAATTTAGTGCAAAGGTGAGCGATCTTCATATATTCAGATTAGGGGTATCTGTCATTGCCATCAATATTTGCTATCTGCCCTGTTCGGGAAACATGGCATCCACTTTGTGCATCTTTCCGTTTCCCTTTATTTTGCCACGTTTCAGTGCGACTTCCATCCTTGTTGATGTTAGTATGGGCAATAGGCATGTCATTGCTTGTATTCATTCCTAAGCATATAATGTGTGTCAATTGGAGTATAGTCATATGTCGATGTCATTGCCATCAATAAGTTCGCCCTGATCCTTCACTCTCCCCACCATTCACTCAGCTCACGTTACCACCGCTCCAACGCACGCCCCCGCTCTTTCCCGTGGGCAGATGGCGCGCAAACGCGATATGATCCAGATCCAGACGGAGGTGAGCACCCAGGAGGAGTGGGAGCAGGAGATCGCCAAGCCGGGCCTCACCGTGGTCGACGTGTACCCCGACTGGTGCGGACCCTGTTCCTCCATGGTTGGCATGCTGAAAAAGGTCAGTGTCTTGACGCGTCACTAAACCCCGCACCAAAAGACAAGCAACATTAGTCCACCGTTCTTTGATTTGTTAATAACAAATGACAATGACCTTGTGAAGGTATCATACAGGAGACTTCTAGAAGCCATCCGACAACCACACCAAACGAACTAAACAATAAAAACGTCAGGTTCACAGGGAACGAAACTCAAGATGATATTGATTGTGGTATGGTTGGTGATGACGGCGATGATTATCTCTTTACTTCCCTCCATCCTCTCTCACTCACTCTCTCCCTTCCCTCCCACCCCCAGATCAAGTTCGAGCTCGGTGACGACATGCTCAACTATGTGATCGCCCGTTCTGACGACATCGAGGCCCTGGAGACTTTCCGCAATCGCAGCGAGCCGCTGTGGATCTTCTTCGGCTCCGGCCAGCCGGTTTACCAGCTCCGGGGAGCCCACTCGCCGCTGCTCGCCAGGAAGATAGTCGAGGAACTGGAGAAGGAGAAAAAGGTGTGAATGGGGAGGGGAGTGAGGGGTGTGAGTGGGGAAGAGATGATGGAAAATGGATGGAGATTGGAGCTCTACAGCCTTCATTAGCGGACTTCTTTTAGCCGAGAGGAGTTGAGGGAATGGGAAAGATAACATAGCTAAAACTAAATATTTTGCATCATCCTAAATCCTTGGCAAGCATATGATGGATACCCTGACGTGTCAAATATCAATGCCGCACCGTATCATATCAAGGCTTTGTATCGCTTGGTGATGTACCATACCGTACCATAACATACTCGCCGTGCGGTACCGCACCTTGTGGTGCCGTAATCGGCGTCTCCTAGTGTGCGGTGAGATTCATTGCCCTGTCCTTCCGTGCGCTGTTCTTCCTTGCCTTGCCCCTGACTTTACCCGTCGCTCCACCCTCCACTCCTCCGTTCAGGTGTTAGCGGGCGAGGCCGAGCGTTCCGTCATCTCTCTCGTCTGCGACGCGCCGGCGGCCGTTCAGCTGCCGCCCGAAGTGGTCGCCGCCGGTGCCGATGATGATGAGGCAGCCGAGACTCTGAACGCGCGACGGTTGAGGTCGGAGGCGCGCGTGGCTCGAGCTCTGGCACCGTACAGTGTGCTGGTGGTGGCGCCGGCGGCCGCAGACAGGTTGGTGGACAAGAGGAGGGAGAGGTAGGGAGGGGAGTGGAGGGGAGAGAGAGAGGGAGGAAGAGAGAGAGAAAGAGAGAGCGAGAGAGAGAGAGAGCAGAGAGGGAGGGAGAGAGATGGAGAGAGAGGGGGAGGAAGGGAGAGAGAGAACGAGAGAGAAATGAGAGCAAAGACAGACACGCACAGACGGACGGATGAACAGACAGAAGAGTGCTGTAGTGAATCAATGATGCAGGCATACCAGCAGCATTATAGCATGTTTCAACTCTAACAAACAGTTGAATCACCATATCCAACAAAGCCCTTCTATGTCCTTGCGATACACCCAGTGACCCATAGCAATAGGACAATAGGTACTAAACGCTTACGCTTCTGTCACAGACGGGAGGAGATCCTCTCCCTCCTGGAGTCCCACGGCTTCACCATCGGCGCGGAGGTGACGAAGGAGCTGACTGAAGAGGAAGTAGACGCCCTGGTGGACCCACCACCGCCACCGCCACCGCCGGCTCCGGCTCCGGCGGCTCAGGAGGAGGGGGAGGGGGAGGAGGGAGAGAAAGGTTAGTGAAGCGGAGTGGGTGACGGGTTTTCGGGTAGGCTTGATGGAGAAGAGTTTGATTATGTTGTAGCTGCAGCATAATAGGGGATACATTTAACGCGTAATTTATGAGGCATTGGAAAACTTAACGCTAATCATAACGTCGCAGAAAATTAAAGCCAACGTATCGCTTATAAAATCCGAATTATCGACGACGGCATTCTTGCGACAATATCACACTGAGTAGCGTTTTGCTCTCTTCTCCGGTACCGTAGTAATTCTATATTTGGCCTAAAATACAGTATCTTACTCGGTGCCCCCCCCCCCCTCTCCCCTATCCACTAGCCGCCGAGGGAGAGGAGCCGGCTCCTGTAGATGGAGAGGACCCGGCCCCGGCAGAGGGGGAGGAGGCGCCTCCGGCAGAGGAGACGGAGGGAGGGAGCGCCGCCGCAGAGGAGGCCGGAGAGACAGAGCAGCAGGAGGGAGGGGAGGAGGACCCCGAGGTGGCGGCTCGGAGGGAGGCGGCCAAAGAGAAACTGAAGGAGGGAGAGGTGAGAAAATGGCGGGGCAAAGAAGGGGGATTCTGAGTAAGGGTGTGCAGAGTAACCGCGAAGACAGGCTGTCGCCTGTCGGATTTAGACAAGAGCTCGTAACGTTATGCCACATCGCGATGACTTTTGAGCAGCTTTTAGGACTGACGACTTATGAACTCTGCGTCGATCGTTGATGGATCTTTTGGGCTGATTTTGCTTACATCAATTTTTATCAAAAAGTTCTCAATGTGTCGTTCGGTACTTTGTTGCTAGCTTTATGCGTCAGTTCAGTGCGCCTTTATTGTCTCCCTTGTATTCTCGGCACTGTCTCCTTTATGTATGCTCAACGCTGTCCCCTCCCCTCTCTCCCGCAGTGTGCTCTTCTGGCGCTCAAAGACTCCGAATTCAGCGAGCAGAATCCCTACCGCTGGCTGACGCTCTACCTCGGCCACGCACCAGCGCCGCCACCCGACTCCGAACCTGTAGTTCCACCTTCGGCCGCTGGAGGGCAGCAGGAGGAGGGCGATTCTCCACCAGACACCGAAGCTGCAGCGGAACCCGAGCCAGAGCCTGAAGCGGACGAATCCCAGCCACCACCAGAACCAGAGTCGGCACTGGCAGATCAACTACGGGAACTTCTCGTGGAGGCGGCCCCTGCGGTGTTCAGCCCTGAAACTATCCCCGGCCAGCAGGCGGCTCTGAGGAGGTATTTCCCTGAGCTGTACCGGGCGCCGGAGCCGGCCCCTGCCGCCGTCTCGACCGAACCGTCTCCGCCGGCCAGCCGACAGGTGGCGCTGGCAGTGTTCGCTGGAGATCGAGAGGACGTGGCGGAGAAACTGAACGAGGCCGGGTTCGCGGTGCTGCACTCGGGAGTGGGAGAGATGACAGAGGAGGTAGGTATCGGGGTGAGGGATAGGTCAGCACCGGGAATAGTGTTCAGAAAAAGGGGAAGGGGAAAGTGAATAGAGGTTTAAGAGGTAGTTGGTGGGGGCCACAGCGAACAGTTAGCCTGGCTGGTGGTTAATGATTGCCAGTCTTTCGTAAGACGGAAGACAGGTAGTGATTTCACTATTTCCCCACCAGGTGGCAGGCAGGTAATCATTTCCCCATTTTACCGCCAGTTGGCAGGCAGGTCAGGTGGATATTTCCTTATTATCCCGCCAGGTGGCAGGCAGATGGGTTCTTTTCTTTTCTTACCTCTCTATTGTCCCGCCAGGTGGCAGGTCAGCTGGTGGCGCGTCTGGAGGGAGGCGAGAGTCAGCTTCCGGCGCTGGTGGCGACACCTGTGCTGGCGGCGGCCTTAGCCTCCGACGGTGGCGCCGCCCTGGCGGCCATCGCCAACCTGGATCCGCTATACCTCTCTGACAATCCGGGTGAGTGCGAACCAGACAGGTGGAGCACGAACATATTTTCCATCTCTGGGAAGAGAGAGGAGCACAAAGGAAAAATACTTGTCTGCCAGTGCTTATTTGGATAGAGGCACGCCTTGTGACCGACGTTCCCCTTTGTTTGCATTACAGAGCAGGCAGAGAAGGACGCTCAGCTAATTTTCTCCTCCTGGGGAGTGGACATCGGCTCCCTGCTAGTGGACGGCGCAGGAGGAGGAGGCGGAGGAGGAGAAACCCCAGGAGAAGGAGCCGAGACGGCGCCGGAGGGAGCAGCAGACACAAAGGCAGAGGGAGGGGAGGGAGAGGCCGAAGGAGGAGCGGGAGGAGGTGAGACAGTGGCG